ATTGGAATTGCGTTGAAAATGTATATTGCTTGTGGTAGTATAGACATTTTAATGATATTGATTTTGCCTATCCAGGAGCACGGGATGTTATTCCATCTTTTGAGGTTTTGTTCAATTTCCTTTTTAAATAGTTTGTAGTTTTCTTCGAATAGGTCTCCTACACTTTTGGTTAGATTTATTCCCAAATACTTCATACTTCTCTCTGCTATTTTGAATGGTATCCTGTTGGTTAGATCTTCTTCCATCTTGGTGTTATTTGCGTACACTATGGCTGTTGATTTTCGTTCGTTAATTTTGTACCCCGCCACTCTGCCAAACTCTCGTATAAGTTCTAGCAGTTTCTGTATTGAGTCTCCTGGTTTTTCTATGTATAGGATTATGTCATCTGCATATAGTGAAAGCTTGACTTCTTCGTTTCCTATACGTATGCCTTTGATTTCTTTTTCTTGTCTTATGGCCTCTGCAAGTACCTCTAGGACTATGTTGAATAGCAGTGGTGATAGTGGGCACCCTTGTCTTGTTCCAGATCTCAGTGGGAAGGGTTCTAGCTTTTCTCCATTCAGTATGATACTGGCGTTGGGTTTTTCATAAATTGCTTTAATTATGTTGTGGATTTTCCCATCTATGCCTACTTTGGCTAGAGTTTTTAGCATGAAGAGGTGTTGGATTTTGTCGAAAGCTTTTTCTGCATCTATTGAAACTATTATGTGGTTCTTGTTTTGCAGTTTTTGGATATGGTTTATAACATTTATGGATTTCCGAATGTTGAACCATCCCTGCATTCCAGGGATGAATCCTACTTGATCCGGATGAATGATCTGTCTGATGATTTTTTGAATTCTATTGGCTAGGATTTTGTTGAGAATTTTAGCATCAATGTTCATCAGAGAAATAGGTCTGTAGTTTTCCTTCTCTGATGGTTCTCTATCCGGTTTTGGGATTAAGGTGATGTTGGCTTCATAGAATGAGTTTGGGAGGGTTGCTTCCTCCTCTATTGTTTTGAAGAGCTTGTAGAGGATTGGGGTTAGTTCTGTTCGGAATGTTTTGTAGAATTCTGTAGTGAAGCCATCTGGGCCTGGGCTTTTTTTCGTTGGGAGATCCTTGATGACTGTTTCAATCTCTACCTTGGTTATGGGTTTATTTAATTCTGCAGTTGCCTCCGGACTGAGTTTTGGTAAATGGTGGGAGTCCAAGAACTTTTCTATTTCTTGGTGGTCCTCAAATTTGTGGGAGTACAGTTCTTTGTAGTAATTTCTAATTATTTTCTTAATGATTGCAGTGTCTGTTGTTATGTTGCCTTTTTCATCTTTAATGCTGTTGATTCTCACTTTCTCTTGTTTTTTTTTGGTCAATCGGGCCAGTGGAGTGTCTATTTTGTTTATTTTCTCAAAAAACCAACTTTTTGATTTGTTGATTTTATGTATAGTTTTTTTGATTTCTATTTGGTTTATCTCCTCCCTTGTTTTGATGATTTCTTGTTTCCTATTGTGCGTGGGACTCTTCTGCTGCTGTTTTTCCAGATCCTGGAGGTGTGTGGTTAGTTCCTGTATTTGGCGTCTTTCTTGGGCCTTGACATGCGCTCCGATTGCGATGAATCTACCTCGTAGCACTGCTTTGGCGGTGTCCCACAAGTTTTGGAATGTAGTATCAGAGTTTTCATTGGTTTCCATGAATTTTTTGATCTCATCTTTAATTTCTTCTCTGACCCATTGTTCGTTTAATAGCATATTGTTCAATTTCCAAGAGTGCCTATACTTCCTGGGGAGTTTTGAGTTGTTGATTTCCAGTTTCATCCCATGGTGGTCTGAGAGGGTACATGGTATGATACTAATGTTTTGGAAGTTGTTTAGATTCGCTTTATGTCCTATCATGTGGTCGATTCTGGAGAAGGTGCCATGCACCGCTGAGAAGAATGTATAGTCTGTGGCCTTAGGATAAAAAGTTCTATATATGTCTACTAAGTCCAGTTGTTCTATTGTTTGTGTGAGCTCTGTTGTTTCTTTGTTGAGTTTTTGTTTCGTAGACCGGTCCATTGTTGTTAGAGGTGTGTTGAGATCGCCTACAAGAATTGTGCGGGTGTCTATGTCTTCCCTTAAGTCTGTAAGTAATTGCTTTACGTAACTAGGTGCATTAAGATTCGGTGCATAAACATTAATGATGGTGATTGCTTCTTGATGGATCATTCCTTTCACCAGTATAAAATGGCCTTCCCTGTCTCTTTTGATGTTAGTTAGAATGAAATCTATTTCGTCTGAAATTAGGATAGCTACCCCAGCTTTTTTTTCTCGTCTATTGGCGTGAAATATCTTTTTCCATCCCTTCACTTTCAGTTTCTTTGCATCCTTTCTGGTTAGATGCGTTTCTTGTAGGCAACAGATGGTTGGGTCTTGTTTGATGATCCATTCTATTAATCTCTGTCTTTTGATTGGTGAATTTAGACCATTTGTGTTGAGAGTTAAAATTGAGAGGTTGCAATTTTGCCCTGCCATGTGATTGTGTTGTGTGTGTGTTGTTGCCTATGTAATTGTCTTGTTTGTGTGGCCTTTAGTTTGGAGACCTTCTTATTTGCCAACTTTGTTTGTGATTTGCCTCCTTTTTGTCCGGGACTAGCGCATTTCTAAGGAGACTTTGCAGAGCTGGTTTTGTGTAGACATATTCTTCTAGTTTTTCTTTGCTATTGAAGTATCTGATTTCGTTCTCATATACAAATGAGATCTTTGCTGGGTAGATTATTTTTGGTTGACAGTTGTTTTGTTTCAGGACTTGGAAGATCTTTGTCCATTCTCTCCTTGCTTGTAGGGTCTCTTCGGAGAAGTCAGCAGTGATTCTGATGGGTTTTCCCCTGTATGTGATCTTTTCTCTACTTCGTACTTGTCTCAGGATTCCTTCTTTGTCTTCATTGGAGTAGAACTTGAGCACCGTGTGTCTGGGTGAAGATCTCTTTGGATCATGTCTGTTGGGAGTTCTCTGTCCGTCCTGTATGCGGGGTGGATTTGTGTTCCAAGTGTTTTGGAAGTTTTCCTGTATAATTTCATCAAGCACTGCTTGCATCCCAGATTCTCTTTCTACTCCCTCGGGGAGGCCGATGATCCGAATATTCAGTTTTCTAAGGTAATCTTTCATCTCTTGCATCATTGTATTAGTTTTGCTGAGGTTTGTCTCCAGCTGTTTAATTCGCTGGACACCTTCATTTTGTGTGTCTTCTGTTTCAGAGATCCTTTCCTCTGCCGCATTTATTCTGTTGATGAGGCTTTCAATTTTATTCTCTTGGGCATCCAGTTTGGTTTTGATTTGTTGTATTTCGGTGATTATGCGGTTCTGGAGGTCTTCCAGCTTTGTGTCCACGTCTCTGAGAGATTTTAGCATTATTTTCATCAATTCCTTTGTTGGTAACACTTCCATGTCTTCATCTCGCATCGCCGATATTGATAATGGCTTTTGGCCCTTGTTTGGTGGGGTGCTGGCTCTTTCATCTGGAGCACAACTCTTTCTGGTGGTTTTTCCCATTGCGTTGGTGTATTCAAACGTCCGGCTGCTGCAGTCTGCCTCCGCCGCTGTCAAAGGCTTCCCGCCGGCGACGATCCACCCGATCTCCCTGCCTCCGAGCTGGCCGCGTCTCCCGTCAGGCCGTTTTCAAAAGTGACTCTGCAGGTCTGGAGTGGGATGTCGGTTTCTCTACCTTTGTCCTGCTCCGTTCTCGTTGTTCTTCCGAGTTGTGTGGATCTTTTTGGCTCCACACTGTCCCAGGGAGCTTCACAGACCTCTCCCTGCGGTTCCCTGCTGTTCCTCTTTGCTGCTTCTGTAGCGTTTTATCCCTATCTCGCTGAACGCTCCCTCACAGCCTTCCTCCTACGTCGGCCATCTTAAAACCCAAATAGTCATTATTTTTCAAAAAAGATTTATTTATTTATTTGAAAGGCATAATTACAGAGAAGGAAAGAGAGAGTGGAAGAGTGAGACTGGGGGAAGGAGGGAGGAGGGAGAGAGGGGAAAGAGAGAGAGAGAGAGAGAAAGAGAAAGAGAGAGAAAGAGATCATCCATAGGATCAGTACCCAAATGGCCATCATGGCCAGGGTTGTATTAGGCCAAAGCTGGGAGCTGGGTACTCCAGCCATGTCTCTCATGTTGTTGACAGGGGCCAAGCACGTGGGTTTACTAATTCTTGGGTGTGTATTAGTAGAAGGTGGATCACAAGTGGAGCAGTCAGACTTGAACCAGTGGTCAAATGGGACACCAACATCATAACTGGTAGCCCAACTTGCTGTGCCGCAATGCCAGTGAAATTGTAATTGGTGGGAAGTGAAGGAAATGGGTGGGCCTAACTTATGACGGTCTTATAATGGTCTTTGGTTATTCTGGTATTTCTCTGAAATGCTTTGTGCTCACGTGTATAAAAAGGTTCTCTCTTCTTTGTCTCTTTTATTCCTGAGACAGTGCTGCTCTAAGAAAGCTCCTCCTGGGCCTTTTCTTTCAGATCTCTTCTCTGCAGTCATTGCTGTGAATCCCTGTATCCTAGACATGAGGCCAGACTTACATGTAGGATTAATTTTCTCTCTTTCAGGATGATTTTGTCTATGCTTTCTTCATGTTTCTTAACCTTCTCTGCTCTTTTCCAGAGTCCTCTATGATTCACTAACTTTCTGTCTCCCAGTTTATTTTGGTAACAAGAATTCCAGTGCTGCAGCATTCCACAATTTATGTGTTGAATCCAATGACAAACTAAACTGCTTTGTTAGTACTGTGTCTTTTAGGATTCCCTTAATGATTTTGTATTTAGCTAGTCTCTTTTAAAATGCATCTCTGCTAATTGATAAACTTAGTAAAGATAAGGTTGAGTTTCTTACTAATATTGGTATTTTGCTACCTAAAGTACCTGATAGTACCTATAGTACCTATAGTACCTCATGCTTACTAGATGTTTACAAATAATTAAATCAAATTAACATTTCATCCAATCATTTTTTTTTCTTTTCTGAAGTCTTAAATTATTTACATTGTAGATGCTGAGAAAAACTCTGAAAGGGACTGAGAGTGAAGAACTGGAAATAACACCTGAGAAACCAACTTTGGTGCCATTTGGGGATGTGGTATGAATCACTAATTATCAATATACTTTTACAAATTAATTACTGCTTGAAACATAATTGATGTGTATTATTTGGTAATAAAACAGTATATGCATGAAACAATCCTAGCATATATTTATGTTTATGAAGTTTTCATTCTTTTGAAAGTTTTCATGTTTATAGATCAGAAAACATTACAAATAATCCTGAAATTAAGGACTAAATCCGAATTCACAGATATAATGTCTACTATACTAGAGAATCCCAAGTTCAGTAGTGTCAAAGTCATAGGAGAATTTTTTTAAGATTTTATTTGTTTTTATGGGAAAGTCAGATTTACAGAGAAAAGACACAGAGAGGAAGACTTCCCATCCACTGGTTCACTCCCCAAATGGCCACAATGGCTGGAGCTGAGCTGATCCAAAGCCAGGAGCCTGGAGCTTCCTCTGGGTCTCCCATGCAGGTGCAGGGTTCCAAGGCTTTGGGCTGCCCTCCACTGCTTTCCCAGGCCACAAGCAGGAATCTGAAAGGGAAATGGAGCAGCCAGGATGCAAACAAGTGCCCATATGGGATTCTGGAGCATGCAAGGTGATAATCTTTGCCACCAGGTTGCTGCACCAGGCCCCAAAATAATTTTTTAAAGCATTGACTTTGGGATCTGCTAAGCCCTGGAGTCAGTATTTTTATTGCATTCTGTAGCAAGATTTGTCTGCAAAGTTGGATTCCCTATATCCTCAAATCCCCAGGACCAGAAACACACACACACACACACACACACACACACACACACACACACACACCATGATAAGCCCTAAAATATAGCTGAGAATAAAAAAAAAAATGTTATTTTGGATGCTTCAGAGTGTAGGATGTGAGAACCAGTGAACAACCAGAACTGTAAAAATATCATGGTATTCTTCAATAGTGCTGTCTCTTGTCTGAATGTTATCAGAAGAGCTACTGGGAATGAAATAAGAATTTATCTTGCCACACTTCCTCCCTTCAATGCAATATTTAATACAATGTTTCTGCTATTTTTACTTTGAAACTAAACATGGCTAAATATATTTGCTTAGTGCTAGGTATTAGAATCAATGTTCCTGTGTTCATTTTGTATTTGATTTTTATGGTTAAACAAAAGATAAAATTTCCTTTGACATTTAGAAGACTTTTGTATATAAAAACTGAATACTTACAGTCCCTGGCGTACAAAAGCTAATGGGTAACTGCTTGCTGAATAAAGTGATTTTAAGTTGCTGGAGAAATGAGATCGAAGCAAAACCTATTTCTTGCATTTTATCAGTTGCTATGTCATATAAAACAAGAATGATTCAGAGTGATGATCATGTTTTCTTGACTTTGTGTTCTTGTTCAGTGTTCCTTTTCATTCTGTTTTTCTGCTTTATGATATTTTCCATGAACTATATATTTTCATTGAGAAAGTATATGCAGAGAAGAACAACAGTATTGAACTTTTTTTTTTAAAGATTTATTTTTATTATTTTTTTATTGGAAAGGCAGATATACAGAGAGGAGAGACAGAGAGGAAGATCTTCCGTCCGATGATTCACTCCCCAAGTGAGCGCAACGGGCCGATACTATGCCGATCCGAAGCCAGGAGCCTCTTCGGGGTCTCCCACGCGGGTGCAGGGTCCCAAAGCTTTGGGCCGTCCTCTGCTGCTTTCCCAGGCCACAGGCAGGGAGCTGGAAGGGAAGCGGGGCTGCTGGGATTAGAACCGGCGCCCATACGGGATCCCAGGCGTGCAAGGCGAGGACCTTTAACCACTTGCGCCACCGCGCCGGGCCCCAGTATTGAACTTTAAGCAGAATATTGTTCAGAGTGGGTGTCTGGCATCGTGGTTTCGCCACCACCTGGGATGCTTACATCCCGTATTTGAGTTCCTGGTTTCAAGTTTCAGCTCTATGCTTTTCTTTTTTTTAAGATTTATTTTTATTGCAAAGTCAGATAAACAGAGGAAGAGAGACAAAGAGGAAGATCTTCCATCTATTGATTCACTCCCCAAGTGTCCTCAGTGGCCAGAGCCAAGCCAATCCAAAGCAGGAGCCTGGAGACTCCTCCAGGTTTCCCATGTGGATGCAGGGTCCCAAGGCTTCAGGCCATCCTCGACTGCTTTCCCAGGCTACAAGCAAGGAGCTGGATGGGAAGTGGGGATGCTGGGAGTTAGGACCAGTGTCCATATGGGATCCCAGTACATTCATGGTGAGGATTTTAGCCACTACACTACCATGCCGGGCCCATCTCCATGCTTTTCTTAAAATATCCAGCTTTCTGCTCCTGTACATTCTGGGTAGCAAAAGCTAACAGCTGAAATACGTGTGTCTGTACTACTCACATGGGAGACACAGATTGAATTCCTGGCTTCTGGCTTTGGACGGCCATAACTGTGACAAGTATCTGGGGCAGTGAACCAATGCATGGAGGAAATCTCTTTGTTTTTTGGCCTTTCAAAAAAATAAATAAAACATTTAAAAACGTTTTTCAGTATAAAGGGAAAGTGTACTTTTTATAAATGCATTCACTTTCTGTATCTTTATTTTCCTGTAGGTTGGCTGCCTGGCCATACATATAAAGAATTGTAAACAATTTATGTCTAGGAGTATCCTTTTTTGATTTTACAATCATAATGTGATCAGATTTCATTATTTCATTATCCATTGCTGCATAAAGACTACTTCAAAACTTAGTGGCTTACAACATAAGCATTTTATTATCAGCAACTGCCAGTGCATTGAGTAGGTGGTATCTGTTTCACAACAGCCCAGCTTGGGCTCAAACTGTGTGAGAGTTCACAGGAGCTGGAAGATCTGAAATAACCCATTTATGTGTCTTGTGGTTTGGTGTGTGTGCCTGGACTGATAAACTTAGATAGGTCCTGAAATAGTTGGATTTCTTGCTCTTGACCAAACTACTAAATTAACTTTAAAAAATATTTTTAATCACTGAAGTTTTTGGTGTCTCCTTACATTTTTTTTAAAAAGATTTATTTATTTTTAATGCAAAGTCAGATATACAGAGAGGAGGAGAGACAGAGAGGAAGATCTTCCGTCTGATGATTCATTCCCCTAGTGAGCACAATGGCCGTTGCTGTGCCCATCTGAACCCAGAACCCAGGAGCCATGGTCTCCCTGTTGGGCCATCCTCGACTGCTTTCCCAGGCCACAAGCAGGGAGCTGGATGGGAAGTGGAGCCACTGGGACTAGAATCTGTGCCCATATGGGATCCCAATGCGTGCAAGGAGAGGGCATTAATCACTATGCTGTCGCGCCAGGCCCCTCCTTAAATTTTGCACCCTGGTCAAGTACCTCTCTTGCCTAGCCCTGATCACATCCATTGAATTTGTGACCAAAGGGCTAACCCAAATCCCATGGCAATAGAAGGATATACTCTCTTTTAATCTGAGAGTGATAAGATTTTCAGTCATTTGTAATGCACTCTAATCATATATAAAAGTTAAAGGAGAAATATATACCTTGTTGGTATATGAATCAGTAATTCTAATTTATTTGTAAATATATGTCTTTTAACATTTTCAAAATGTATATATTGACATTGGTGACTTTAAATGTTGGGTGCTTATTTTTAGGCTTATCATGCTATAAAACCAGTATACTCTACAATTATATTCTAGATCTACTTGACTTATTCTTAGGTTTTGGACTAATAGAGTCATGGATTGCAATTACTGGCTTAATTTATAATGTGTTATTATTCAGTTACAACAAAGCTTATTTCCTCAACTTCTGTATCAGTCAGTTCACAACATTATACTAATTTGTTCATTTGCATCTCCATAAACAATGTTGTGAAATCTACAAAACTTTGTAGCTTGATAACCAGAAGCAATAAGAAGCTCAACGTAATTAGTTTTGATGAAGTGAAGTATTTTTCTGTACAGGTAATATTAAAATTATCTTCTTGATATAATAATCTCTTTATAGTTTCAGATATTCTACCCTAATTCTCTCTTTTCCATTTTTAAAATGGGTCGGGAAAAAGTGAAAGCAGTAATTTATTATTAAGTATTTTAAACTATTGTATATATACTGTGTGAACTGTAGTCCTAAACATAATCTAGGCCAGAAGGCTGAGAAGCAATAGGGCTATAATTTGTTTAAGACAAAAAGTTTCCTGCAAAATGTGTGGTGATGAGTTTCTTAGCTGAAGTGCCACTATGGTTCTGTGTTGGCCCTTCTTGGATTTTTTTCCACCTGACTTCTTCCCTTCCCATCTACCCTCTCCTATTTTTGTCTTTAAAATCTCCTCCACTTTTGTCTTCTCTTCTCCTACAGTCTCTTTATACAGACTAACTGTTGTGTGGGTTCAGGTATTTAGTATTTATAAACACTCATATGTATACATCTTATTGCCATCCTAGCTCAACAGATGAGGAAACTAAGAAACTATGCAGTTAAAGAACTTTCCTAAAGTCACAGAACTGGAATGTGGTAGAGCTGGAAATGTATTCAGTCTCACCTCAGACCACACTTCAGTAAATTACTCCTCACACTGGAACATATTATTTTGTCACAGTTAAGTTTCTTAAAATATTCAATGTATCCCACATTTTCCAAATCAGCAGCAATGTTCCATATAGCTACAGGGTTCACTGATCAGTCTGTTTCCTAATAGTTTTATTGCATGGATTTTCTTCTGTGCTGATTTTTTATTTTTACAAATTTCATTTTACTTAAGTGTTGATACTTTAAGACGTATCTTTTAGAGGCAGTTTGTGCTTTTCTTTGCGTCTTTACACATGTTTAGCAAATCTCCAGAGAGCCAAGGGGAATAGATGCTGCAGGGTTGACAGCTGAATAGTGACTTCAAGGTGAACAACTCATGGTGTTTGGAGTCTGGTTCAGCTAGAATGGTGAAACTATTGTTGAGTCTTCCCAATATTGAGTTGCAATTCCAGTAATCACTTCTTACCACCTTTTCAAGTGAGATTGTCTCACTACAGGACTTACTAATAGCAGCCAGAACACTTGCCTACCTTGAAATCTGCCCCACCAAAGTAGCCCACCATCTTTTAAGTTCAGTCTCCTGTAGAATCTCAGGCCATGGATGCAATATAGTCAGGTTTTTCTGCCACCGTGTAGCAAGAATAGCCTTTAATCGTACATCCAGTATTAATTCTTAAATTTACATTTGAGATTTGATCAAGTTGGCTGTCAACTCTACATTTTTACCTGTATTCTGGATTTTTAGAAACACACACATATTTTCTGTAACATTCTCTTTCCAGCATTCTAGTTTTTTCTAATGCCAACGTTATTCCAGTAATCTAGTTCCAGAGGTTTCTCTCTCTTTTTAAGGTAGGCTTAATAGTAATGATTTTACTGGTATCAGCTTTCTGTATTAGCTTATCATCACTTCTTAGGAAGGAACAAGGCTTATTTTGGCTTATAGTTTTAGGAGTTTGCAGTCCAATATTGAGTTTAGGCATCTGGTGAGCATGACTATGGCAGGAAGACAGGCATATGGCATGCCAGGAGGCAGAGGGAGATAGGCAGCACACTTAGCTTATGTAACCAACACTCTAGAGAACTGCTTTCCATGCCTGGCATGATCTAATGACCCCAGTGTCTCCCAGATTCCATATTTATGGAAGAGAAATCATTTATCAGTCTGCCACATTTGAAAATTATGTATCATCGGTCTTTGTTTGTTGCATTTCTTTTCTGATTTCACACTGATGTGACTGTATTTTATTACATTATGTTTATTTATTGTATTGGGTCTAATGGCTGCTTAGAGTGGATTGTTGATGTTCATCCTCTATGAGACATCTTAATTATTATTTCTTCAAGTAGTACCTCTCTGCCCCATTTTCCTGATCTGCTATTTTCATCCCTGGAACTCTGGTTAGTATATATTAGATGTTCTTCCATATCTTTTAACTTTTTAAATAAATTTTTTATTACATAACATCTTCCTTGTATTCTAAATAATTTTTCAGAAATTTGTTCTGGCTCTCTAAATCTGTTAAGACATATAAAATCTGTAGTTGAGTCTATTTGTTTAATATTTTAATTTAATTATCTTATTTTCAATTTCTAAAAGTCTAATTCTTTGTTCAAGTTAGCTAGATCATCCTAACAGTTTATTGTAGCTCTTTTTTTTTTTAAAAAAAAATTTATTTATTTTTATTACAACGTCAGATTACAGAGAAGAGGAGAGACAGAAAGGAAGATCTTCTGTCCAATGATTCACTCCCCAAGTGACCGCAATGGTCAGTGTGGCGCTGATCCGAAGCTGGGAACCAGGAACTTCATTCCAGGTCTCCCATGTGGGTGCAGGGTCCCAAGGCTTTGGGCCATCCTCAACTGCTTTCCCAGGCCACAAGCAGGGAGCTGGATGGGAAGTGGAGCTACTGGGATTAGAACCAGTACCCATATGGGATCCAGGCGCGTTCAAGGCGAGGACTAGCCACTAGACCACGCCACCGGGCCCTATTGTAGCTCTTTTTAAAAAATGTATTCCTTTAAACATAGGAAGCGTAACACTTTAAAAAAAAGTTCTAATTGAAGTTTTTGTGGATCTGCTTCTGAGTCTCACAGTGCTTCATTTCCATGCTGATTTATGTTTTACTGTCATCTCATACCTTTCCTGGACTTCTTTTGAGGTCTAGGATGACAGCAGCCCTGAAGAGAACACTGGGTTAGCTTCTGAGGCTCCTGAGATTACTATCTGTTGGGATTATTATAAACTAAGTGTTGTGTTTGAGATATTTAAAAAAATTTAAATGTTGGCCAGTTTGTTTATATTGCGGAAAATTGTATGTAATGTAAAACCACTGAAATGATTTTAAGTGTAGACTCAGGAGGTTTTATGCCTCTACTTAGTGTGAATTTAGGCGTCAGTTCTACTAAATAGGTTTATAGTTCCAGTTTACCAGGAACTCCCTACCTCCCATTTTGCTCAGAACGTTACAGCTTTCATTGTAATCATAAATGTGTTGGGAAGAATGTTTTCTTATTTCCTGAAGCTTTAGCTCCTTGGATTCTCAGTGCTATCAGAGGAGGGGTGGGCAAGTGTCTTCTGTGATATGCCCCGTATCTTGTCTTCTCTTTTATGTACCTTTTGAAGCCATGAAAATGCGGTTTCAGACTGGGAAATATCTTCTGGGCAAATGTAACTTCCTACTTTACCCTTCTTATTGTATGCTAATACTTGATGCTTTATATGATTTTTTTTTACTATTTTATTGGTTTATTAGTGCTTTTAGGGAGTTATTTTTAGATATTATGTTGAGTACTTATAATGTTTTAACAGACACACTGCTTCTAACACTGCCAAATTGCTGAAATGTCAAGCCAGCCTCTTAACTGTTATGCTTCATAGGGATTTTTGTTCTCATTTCTAAGGAGAAGAGAGTCACAAGCATAACTTTAAGAAGTTTCCTACACAGTGTAATATGTGCTATGTTTGCATCTAATCTGAATTTGAATTTGAAATTCACACTGAACATTTAACGCTTCTTTTTATATACATTTTGAAATTGAGGTTCCCAGACATCAAGATGATGAGCGAAATAATATTTACCTGGATCTAATGCAGCATGACGCTACAGAAAAATATCCTCTCTTCTTAGGGCGCTGTGAATTACATCTTTATGAAGTAATCCAGGTATGCATAGAAGGCCTTTTTTTTCTACCATAGTGCCATATAACCCAGTTGGTATTTGCTGTGGTGGTTTATTATGTCTAGGTGACTCGTTTTCTTTATAATCTGCCCTTAAATACATGTGTTTAGGAAACAGAGTTTTCACTGTGAGGCTTAGTGACCCAAATGTCTTAAAAATGTTTAGTGGAACTGTAAAAACACAATTTTGTTTGTTAACTGTGGAATTGGGAATGTGGCATATAGTGGGAATAAAAAGAGTGATGGAACATTGGATTATGTAGTGTGGCTCATGGGAAAACAGAGGTTGCCACAACTAGTGCCCAAAGATACCCAAGTTTTGTCTGCATTAGAAGATCCCAACAGTCCCCCAGAGATGAGAGACTGTCCTATCAGGGATCATGTGGTTAACATCTCAAGAAGCATGATGGTTGGGAATAATGGGGGGACAGGCATTTGGCCTAGCAGTAAAAATCTTGTTTCGGAATATCCCACAATGGAATAGCTGGGTTCAGGTCCTAGCTTCAGCTCCTGACTGCAACTTCATGTGTATGCACTTCCTGGGAGGCAGCAAAGATGCCTCCAATGATTGATTTCCTGTCTCCCCCTGGGAGATGTGGACTGAGTGAAGCAGTAGATGGGAGTGGGAGCTGGCTGTCTCTGCCTCTTTACTTTTCAAATACATTTTTAAAAAAGGAAGAGAAGGAGAAGAGGAGAAAGAAAAAAAAGAAAAGAGGAAGGAGGAGGAGGGAGATGAAGGAGAGGAGGGAGAGAAAAGCAGTATGGGCGTGGCAGTTTTTCCAAGACTTTCACAAGGAGAACTGTAACTAGCAGGGACATTTTGTCTGGGATGTGTTTATGCATCTAGAATTTTAATTTTTCTTTTGAATATTCATTGTGTTTGTATATTAAGCATAAGATTCATGTATGCTTTTGAAACATCTTTAATATGATTCAGATAAGATACAGGAAAATAATTATGAGTGATTTTATGTTTAATCATTTTATTCATTTATTTTTCTAGAAAGGGTGTTTTACTGAAGAATTGCTAATGATGAATAAAAACACAGTAAGAACTTTGCTGAAACTTCCTGAATTTTGTTTCTGTGTAATGTGCAACGTTTGCTTAACTTGCTCTGATAAAAGCTTTACACTGCTTATAGCTTGTAGTTTTAATTATTATCCCACCAGACACTGTTTACATTAGTAAAAACATATTAAGTAGAAATTGCAATATTTGTTCACAAAAATTTTACTCTTTTTTTTTTAAAGTTCCATCTTACTGCTAAATAATGAAAAAATTGGAAGTAATTGGATGAGAGTGCCATGCCTCTGGCTGCTTCTTTGCCTCCCCTCAGGAGCCACACCTGCTTAAAGTGCTGTTTTTCATTTTGTGATTTCCAAACAGTTGTTCATATGGCTCACCTAATTTTTAAAAAGTGCTTAAAATAATTAGCTTGATTAATTAATCACCTCTTTAGAGGTACTTCTGCTGTTCTTGCACAAACCTGGGAATGGAACCAAAAACAAAACAATGTGCTGTTGAAATCATCAGCTCTGACATTCTTCTTCATGTTACACATAAATAGATTCTATGCCAAATTATCTGACAGTTGAGTGCATTGGAATGAAAATGACAGGAATATGAGTAAATGATTAAAATGTATAAAATGTATGCTTATATGTGAACCAGTATATATATATATATATGTATATGTCAATATTTCAATATAATCCTACTAGTGATTTTAACTTGACATTTCCATACTTTGGTCTTATAATATTGTTTGACTTTAACATGGAAGCTTTTTAAATTTATTGTTGTGATCCTTAATTTATATAAAATGAATATATCTCAAATTTTTTTTTCATGATATGGGTTTAAAAACACAAGGATTCCAACCTCCTCGCTCAAGAGCTCAACATATTCTAAAGGAGCTCTTGGTTTATACACACACACACACACACGTATATGTATTTCTATATATACAAATAATACATGTATGTATTACATCAGGAGATTCATATTTTGGCTTTTTTACTTTATTTGTGCAGTAAAGATGTTATTGATTATTACTTTCCTTTAAATTATTATTTTGATCAAATAATGAAATAAATTTGCCACATGTTTAGTTTATCTGCAGGGTAGAAGCAGAATTTATGTTCTCCTATGGAAACTTTGGTTATGGATTTTCACATCAGGTTAGTTCCCCCTTTTAAAAATATTCAACTTTAGTTTTTTAATCAAATTATCCTCTTCTTAAACCCTAATTTTTCCCAGTTAATAATTTTTTTGAAAATATGTATTCATTTGTTTGAAAGGCTATTACAGAGGGAGAGGAAGAAAGAAAAAGACATCTTCCATACACTAATTCGCCCATGAAATGATCCAACAGCCAGGGCTGGGCCAGGTTGAAGACAGGAGCAATGTTGCAGTGTAGCTTACCCCGCTGTCTCACAATGCCAGGCTCCAGTTCCTAAATTGTTCAAATCAATATTTTAAAAATAATCCTGACCTTGAAGTATAGCTTTTCTGAAGCCTAAATAAAAATGAAACCTTATCATTATTTGTTTATATATTTTCAAGCAATGATTTTTATTCCTAATATTGTTACGATAAAACTTACTTTTATATGTTTAAAGATAAGCATATATTAGAAATAAGCATTATTAAAATATTGAATAAAGATCTTTTGAATTTAAAATAGTTATTAAAAATGAAGTCACTGGGGCTGGTGTTGTGACATAACAGATAAAACCGCCTTCTGTGTTAATAACATCCCTTGCGGGCACCAGCTCATGTCCTAGCTGCTTCATTTCTGATCTAATTTCCAGCTAATAGACTGGGAAAATAATAGAAAACGTCTCAAGTATTTGGGCCCCTGCCACCCACGTGAGAGATCCAGATGAAGCTCCTGGCTTTTTTTTTTTTTTCTTAATGTAGAAATCTAGGGATTGTAGACATCTAGGGGGTGAGCTAGTGATGAGAAATATCTCTTTCCCCTTTCTTATCCATCCCTCTTTCCCTGCCACTCTAATTTTCAAATAAATCTTTTTTTAAAAGCTGAATTTATAAGCACATATGCTCCTTTCCTCTAGTATATTTCAACATCAGGGTTGTTTCAATATTTGGTGTTATTTGAATCCTATTTCATTCATCAAGAAAGTAAGAAAATATTTCCTAGCTTTGGCTTGCCCCTTTAAATTCACTACCATGATCATTTTATACACTATGCTGTGTTCTTTTGCTTCATTATGTCCTTAGGCAAGATGGTCAGAACGGAAATTCTTGTTCAAAACAATGGCTTTTTCAAAAACTTATTCTAGAAAAGCTGTCCTAACATACACTCTCATTAAGTATTTGAAATAATTCTTGGTATCATTGGATGTTATCACAACTTTGGAGCAATTGGAATCTAACCTTATTTATGTGTTGTTATATAGGATAAATGACCCCTTTATTTTACATGTGACTTTTCTTTTTCAATTTCTGTTATTTTGGGAATAGCTTTCGGTATTTTAAAATTAGGCATTAAGACTGGCAGTATCAATTCAAATACAGCAACCATGACATTAATTGAGATATCCCTGTAATATGTTTAAAAATTTTGTCTGTGGTATTCCATGATGATTTTAATATATTTTGAATCAGACGTAATATACAAATGGAAGCCACAGGAACCAAACTTTGTTTTTCATTTCTGCTTTGATATTTTTCTGCTTGTTTTCTTCTTTTTAAAAGTGCAAATTAAACTTTATTTGAACCATATTTGTTTAGTTCTTTGTGTGACTATCATAGTTTGTGACCCACAGAGATAGGTTTTTTTTTTCTCTAAATAGGATTGTAATATGCAACAATAGCCAATCCTAAAGAGATAAAATGTTTTCAGAAAAAAATGGTTGCATATCTTTTTTACGTTGGTGAGTAGAAGTTCAATTTGATTTGATGCCTCTGGTTTTTTTGTGATAAGTCCCATACTTACCTGTCAGAATGCAGTAAAGAGAACAACTTTGGGAACAGATAAAACTGCATTCAAATCCTGACACTCATTCTTACTGTGTAGCCTTGGACAACTTATCTTCAATATCATTCTGTAATATATTTTATTACATTACTTTCTTTTTATGTTTATTGAGGGGCTTAAATAAGATTCATGGTGTAAAATCCTTGGAAAATATTTAGTACCCAATACATTTATTTAGTTATAATTTTTTAGATAACATTTTATATTTACATTATAGTCAAAAGCTTAATGCTTTACTAACTAAAGAGTTCAACAAGTAGGGCTGTATAGAGCTCAGCAGGAATATTGACAATACCTATTAACAGTAATAAAATGAAAATTGACTCATATATTGTAAAATGTGAAATAGTCTGAAACCACTAAAACTAGAGTAATACACCATTCTTAACAATTTGGTTCACAAAGAAATAAAACAAAGCTTGGCAAAACTATATTTTCAGCAATAATGTTACACATAGCTATTTTTTTGTCTTTGCTTTTTGATTTTATTTATATATTTATTTATTTAAAGTGTAACTTCCACATATCAGGAAGAACAGGCATTGCTTATCTTTCTGTGTCTTAGTTCAGTCAATGTGATACCCTCCAGTTCAACCATTTTGATGTAAATGATAGAATTTCATTCATTTTTTACACACATGCACATTTTCTTTATTCAGTCATTTGATGATGGCTACCTTGACTGACTCCTTGTTTTGGCTGTTGTCAACAGTGCTGCTATAAAAATGAAAAAGTGAAAGTACCCAATTAATGCAATTCCTCTCTTTTGTCCTTATATTTGTTATTAATGGCCTATTCTATAGTCAATTGGGATTATTAATGGCCTATTATGATTGTAAGTAAATGGTGTTTTAAAAAAGCACGTTTTTCTTTAGTTAAAACCTCTTCAGAAAATTGTTGAGCCATCTATGTTTATGCAAGTCGCACCACCTCCAGAAAGAAAAGATCCTGTGACGTAAGTATTCTACATCTTACTCATATTTTCAGATTCAATGGCATTAAAAAACCCCTCCATATCCATTCCAATTACGCATTCTGGAATAGGGGAAATAGGATGGATGTCAAGCCCCACTAAAACTGCATTGGCTCTGTGACCTCTGTCAGTTTCTACTCCAGATAATGGATCACAGTGACACTTGGAGTCTCCTAGAATTAGTTTCAATCCAGTGTCCAGGAATTCCCAAATACTCATAGGTCCTTTGGGGGAAGATGGGGAGCACTTCAGTCACCTTCAGAGATGTTCAGGGAATGGCCAGGATGGATTAGACTCCAAGGGAAGGGAAACCCATTCAAGTGATTAATAGGATGGAAGAAAACTTAAACTTCTGGGTTTAGCCCTGGAGAGCGGAGGTGAGGTCTAGAGACATGAAGAAGAGAAGGTATGTGCATTTGGCACAGTAATTAAGGTGCTACTTGGGATACCTGCATCTCATATCAGAGTTGCTGATTCAAGTCCTGACTCCATCATTTCTGACCCTGCTTCCAGCTAATGTGCACTGTGGGAAGCAGCAGGTGAAGGTTCAAGTACTTGGGTCCCAAATTGAGTTCCAAGCTTCCAGTTTCAGCCTGCTAAGCCCCATCTGTTGTGATATTTGAGGAGTGAAGCAGCATATGGAACACCTACTCCTCTCCCTCCCTCTCCCTTCCTCCATCTCTCTCTGTCCCTCTGCTTTTCAAATGAAATGAAAATAAATTTTAAAGCATTAAAACTAAAAGACAAAAAGAGTGCTTAGTTCATGAAAGATAATTAAAGAGGAAAGTTGGACAGTGAGGTAGTATTGTTGGTCAGAGAGAGGCTTTTAATATCTGGGTGTCTTATCAACCATTTTCTGCTCTGCAGTATAGTAATATTAACCTATCTCCACACAAATTCGATATTACTTCCATATGATCATTGAAAAGTTGTTAAAATATTGTTCAAAATCTGAAAGTGACTTAAAATACATTCTGCCACCCACATGGCGGATCTTGATGAGTTCTGGGCTCCTGTCTTTGGCTGGACCTCTTATCACACCCCAGCTATTGTGGACAATTGGGGATCGAACCAGAAGATGGGAGATCTTCACCTTTCAAATAAATGAAATAGATAACAATTTCCCCCCAAAAGGATAAATGTCGGTTAACTACAAAGGAAGAGTTTCAAAAGCTTAGGGAAACTGTAATATTAGAGTAGACTTGTTAGTTAATATTTGTCTACCCTGGGAGGTCAAACGAACAACTTCATCAAGAATATGAGAACTGGATTAAAAACTTGGAACCCTTAAAGATCTCTGTAATTACTCTTCTCTGGAGACAAGACCATAAGGTGAAACTGCAGTCATTGAATTAGGAAACCTACATGCAGTGGGTATAATTGGTTCCCAGAGTGGCAGGAACAATACAGTGGATATGGTTACTGTACTGCAGATTAACTTCAGAGATAGTCTGAAGATAGTCTGACACACACATACCGAGGACATTGGCTAGTTCATCATGGTATGCCTGGAAGTGAAATAAATAGTAGGCCTTCTTACCTCTTCCTAGGCAGTTCTAGGAAAAGTGAGTGAAAGTTCAGCCTGAATTATAAAGTCAGTGAGTCATGAGACTTGCCCAGCTTAAAAATCCAGGACCCTTTAAGTGAGGAGGCTGAATTCTCTCAAAGAGGGATCCTACTATCTGCCAGAAATTTACACTGTTAATTTTTTCCCTTATCTTTCCTCAAGGGACCTATGGGTATTTGGGAATTCCTGGACACTGGATTGAAACTAATTCTAGGAGACTCCAAGTGTCACTGTGATCCATTATCTGGAGTAGAAACTGACAGAGGTCACAGAGCCAATGCAGTTTTAGTGGGGCTTGACATCCATCCTATTTCCCCTATTCCAGAATGCGTAATTGGAATGGATATGTTTTGCCAGTTCTGTGAAATTAAAGCTATTATGGTGGCAAAGGTCAAGTGGAAGCTATTGGTATTGACTATACCTAGAAAAATAGTAAGCCAAAAGCAGTTTTGTGTTCCTGGAGGGATTGTGGAAGTTACTGCCAGCATCAAGGATTTGAAAAATAACAGACATTGATTCTCTTCCTATCTTCATTCAACTTACAATTAGCTTGCGCAGATGACAGATGGACCTTAGGGAATGACAGTGGGTTATTGTGTGCTTAATTTAGTGCTGAATGCACTTGCAACTGCTGTCATACAGATATGATTTAATTTCTTGAGCAAGATAAAATATCCCCTAGAATCTGAGATGCAACCATAAGTGCATTTTTATGTAATTTCAACATTTAACTTTATTGCCATTTTTGCAGAAATGTTATTTTGCCACAAGCAGTAGAATATCCAGCATTCTTGTCTCCAGACCTGAATGTTACTGTTGGGGTTCCAAACATGGGACCCCAGCAAAGCCAGGCATCTGTGGTGCGACTTGAGAAACTGCAGCAGCAACCCCGGGAAAGGTAAAAGGCACAGACGTTTTCAGTTTATACATGTGCTATTTGTGTTCTATGTTACTATCTTCCTCTTAGATGTAGGTTTGCTTTTGGTCCAGGAAAATTTATTACAGGGACAGTTACGTAAGCTAATAGAATATCCGCATGCCATTTCAGAGTGCCTGGGTTCAAGTCCCAGCTCTGCACCTGGCTCTGGCTTCCTGCGATGTGCACCCTGGAAGGCAGCTAGATGGCAGCCTTGTGAGAGGCTGTCTCTGGCTCCCAGCTTCTGCCATACCCCCAACCTCTCAGCCTATCTGAGGAGGGAACCAGTACATTGGAGTACCCACTCTCTCTGCCTACCAAATGAAATTTTAAAAATCCAAAAAGCCTCATTTTGGCATTATGTCCTGGGTTCATTGATTATTTATGATTTTTTCTTACTAAATTTAAGTACTTTTTTTTCAAATCAAAGATTATTAGCAAGAGGTGAATGCTCATTTAAATGGAAAAAGCATAATACTTGATCTGCCTCTTCACTTGAGAAAGTATTCTATTGTCGCTTATGCTCTTGTCTGTATTTCCTGTCATTTTTCTAGATAGTTTTTTTTTATCTGTATTCTAGTTCACTGGTTCTTTTTTCTGATCTGCTGTTCAACCAGTTAAAAATCTTAATTTATGTCCTCTTCCAGTCATCAAATTCTCATTTATTTCTACTTCTCACCTCTAAGGGCAAATCTCTAGCCTTGTGTTTTAATTCCTCGAATAGGTTATGGACTGAGCTATAAACATTTGCTTCTCTCTGTTCTATAGGCTGAGAAGTCCAGGATCAAGGTGCTTGCTTAGTGGGTTTTGGATGAGGAAATCGTTTCTAATTTGAAATGGTCACCTTCTAGACTGGTTCTAGTCTGATGTTTAAGCAAGGGATTGTTTCCTTTTTTTGTAATCTCCTGTGCCCCTGTCCTGGAATAGACACTTGGCTGGTAAATGTAGTCACAGTGGTTTGACTGCTCGCATTCTGTTAGCCTGTACCATGAAATCTGGGCCCTTGACTGTGTTTGCAATGAGTAAAACCTCCCAGTTTGAAGTGTTGTGCTCTAGGTGGCTCGCTGTGTTTCCAGTGACCGGCTTTTGGCTATCTTGGTACTCTCTGTCTTCTCAGACCTACCAGGCATTCCTTTTCTACTCGTTTTCTCCTACATTTATGTTAATACGATGAAGGAGGAGTGGGCGTGTGTGTGTGTGTGTGTGTGTGCATGCCCACTTTGGGTTTTCTGCATAGATAAATGCTGTTTTACCTAGGGATTTGAAAACTCTGCTCCTGGCACCACCATCTTCCTGGAACTACCTTCTTATATCTGTCAAACTAAGTAATATTCAGAGAGCTTCTCCAAAGAATAGTGTTTGGAAATAAAAAAGCACAGCAATAGAAATATTCATTCCTTGGTAAATGATGACTGTGTTTGAAGAGACTGAACCAAGAGGAAGTTGTGAAAGATGAAACCGAGTATTAAAGTATCTTGGGGTGATGATCCTTGGCCACAGGGATTAATAACAAAGGCTGGAAAAGTTGGAAAAGACAGTTGCTGAGTAGATGTACTTGTAGACTGTTGTATGTTTGGTCTCATTTGATTCGACTTTTTAAAATACAATACTGCAGTGGCTTTTGTACTAGATGTGGTCTGGCAGTATTTTGTGATAGTTACTATTAGGGAATTATAAGTGAAAGTTTGTTTTTGAAAGCTTTATTTATTTTACTTGGAAGTCAAAGTTACAGAGGAAGAGAGAGATCTTCTACCTGGTGGTTCACTTCCCAATTGCCCCAGTAGCCAGAGCTGGGTTAGTCTGAGGCTGGGAGCCAGGTTCTTCTTCTGGATCTTCCATTTGGATACAGGGGCCCAATACCCTGGGCTGTCGTCTGCTGTTTTTCCTGGTCATTAGCAGGGAACTAGGTTGGAAATGTAGCAGCTGGGACCCAACTCAGCACCCACTTCTGCCAGGGCAGAAGGCAGACAGTTAACTGGCTCTGCCACTGAGCCAACTTGAGTGAGAACTTAGTTTCCTGAATACCTGGTTGACTGACTTTCTTTGTTTTTGCTAGGATTAACCCAAGTGAATCCAGTTTGATTTTGATAACTTTCACATGCTTGTTTTGCAAAAACTGTCATGTTTATAATGATTTATCTTTAATTTGTAGCATCTTTTAGGAAAATTTATTTAGATAATTATGACAACAAAATAATAGCAGTTTTTTTCTTTACTCTCACTCCTTTAAAACTTTATTTTCTTGTCTTATTAGGTGAGTAGGACACTCCAGTTAATGTCTGATAAAATGACAAGATGAACACTTTTTGATCATGTTCTTTAAAGAAATGTTTTTAATTTTGTCAGGAGTTTTAAAAATTTTTTCCCTCTCTTCCTTTTCTTCCTATTTTTGGCCTGCCGTCTTCCCCAGCTCCCTTCCTTCCTCTTTTCTCCTTCCCCTTTTTTCTCTTTATTTTCTTCATATCTTGTATTAGGTTAAGTATGAATGGGAAGTATGAAAAATAATATTACCTAAGAATTATGCATTTCAAAATCTTTTTGTGCCAAAATAAACATGTTTTAATTTTACTTTCCATGGACTTTTAGAGGTACTGTCCTATATTATTTTATTCTATTCCTAGTTTTTAAAGACTTTATAAAAAATTCAATGCAAGTAAAAATGTGAGATTTTTTTCAAACCTTTTTTCCTCAGTTAAATTGTAGTCACATTATATAAATATTTTCTAATGTGAATGTCAAAAATATCATTTTGGTATTCCTGGAATACCAGCTTTGTTTATGATACATTGCATTCTCTATGTAACTGGATTCTTATTCCACAATAATTATTTTTTCTATAGCATTTGCATCTGTGTTTGTGGAGACTGTAATTTTCCTTTCTTGTGATGTTGTCAAGGCCATAGTGTTTTAATGAAATGAATTGGAAACTTTTCCTTTTCTCTGTTTAAACTCCTGTTAATTATATTTTTAGGTTATTTAAATCTTTTGAAGTTTTAGAAGCTAACTTCTTTCCTCAGGACTTGTGTTACTGACAAACAGATTGTATGTGAGTGTATAAGTATATGTATATGCGTATGTATGTGTATGTATATATAACATGCATATATATGAATACTTTGTGACATATGTACATATAGAGATATGGACTGAAGATTGGTGTCAAGCACCTCTCTGTGTCCCCCATCCACTCTTTACACATCCAAATTCATACATTAAAGATCTAATGCCAAATGTCATGTTTTTTGGAATTAGGTTCTTTGGGAGATAATTAGGGTTAAGTCATTAGACTGGGGCCCTCATGATGGGATTAATGGATGTCCTTGTAAAAATGAGGAAGATCTGAGATTTCATCTCTCTCCACTGTGTGAGGCTGTAAGAAGATGGCCTCTGCAAACCAAAGGAGCACCTCAGCAGAACCCAGACCTGTTTGTGGACCCCTCGAGGAGGACTCTTCAGCCTCCAAACTATGAGACGTAAACCTCTCTGTTTATGACACCCAGGCTATGGTATTCTAACAGTCAAAAGGGACTAAGCTATATAGATTAAATACTAAGTCTAATATAATAACTAATTTCTAAAACATAAGTGGATCTTTATATATTATTCTGTGAATCCTGCCATATGCATATATATTTTTTTCTGATAATTTTTTTTAATCTGTAACTGATTACTTTCTTAGGTTGGAAAAAATGAAAACAGAATATAGAAATCTGGGTACATGGATAGAAAAAGTTGGCTATTTAAACAAAATTATTAACCCCAAATTGGAAATTAAATATCCTAAGGTAATTGAAATAACAAATTCTATCATATATAGATTCAAATACATTTTTAACCAGAGATTGTGATGATTAAACATTCTTTGTTCTTGACAAGTATGTATATTATACATTGCAATATAAATATACATGTGCGTGTGCTTTCCTGTTTCATTAATGTGCCATTCAATAAAGATTGACTATTTTCACAGATTTATTAAGCTGTAATTCACATATCGTATGATTGACTTATTTAAGTGTATCTTAATATACTCCAAAAATATGGAGTATATTTATAATCAGTTTCAGGACATTTTCATAATCCACAAAAGGAACCTCACTCATTTTTAGCCAACACTCTCCCAATTCAGTCATTACCCAGCCAGCCCTAAACAACTGATGGACTTTCTCATTATACAATATCTATTCTAGACATTTCAACGTGAGTGGAATCATGCAACATGTGGTCCTTTGTGAACTGATTATTTTAGTTAACATATTGTTTTCAAGTTCTTCCCTGATATAGCATGTAGGAATATTTCATTTCTTATTATTTTCAAATAACATTCTGCTATATGGACATACCACTTTTTCTTTATGCTTGAATAATTTGATGGATATTTGGGTAGTTTCTGCAGTTGTGTTGTCATGAATCAACCTGTTTTGAGCATCCATGTGCATTTTTTAGGAAGCATATGTTTTTAATTCTTTTGGGTACATCCCTAGAAGAATAAGCTTCTCCCTATGGTAATTCTGTTTAAATTTCCGAGAAACTGCCAAACTGTTCACCATTGTGGGTAAATATTTTTGCTTCCAACCAACAATGTATGAGAATTTCCAGATCTTTACCAGCATTTGTTATCTTCTGTCATATCATTGTTAATACTATATTATCCTTCTGAATTTCAAGTGGAGCTGCATTATTGTTTGAATTTGCAATTCCTTTAATGACTAATAATGTGAACATCTTTTCATGTTTTCACTGATGATTTGCATATCTTCTTTGGATATATATTTATCCAAATTCATTGCCAGTTTTAAGATGTTTTTTTGTTATTGAGTTATAGGAACTTTTAACATATGCTGGCTTTTAGATGCTTATCAGATATATGAAAATGGTTTAATATTTAGCACTATAATATAAGCTATATATTCTCTAAAAATAAAAATTTCATAACTATTTCAGCAAAGAATGTTGACCAAGAATAAAACTCTAAAATGATATTTGTAACATGACATCTCATTCTTCTCAATAATTGAGCAGAGTTCTAACTGCAGGGTAAATTTATTGGTATTTATTGCCATGGAATTAGTATGTTCTGAAAATTTGTCAGTTATAGCCTTTGAGTATGCATTGAAGACTCAGTAGTTTATAAGAATTCTGTAAAATACCCATATTTTTCCCAGTCACAGGCCACTATGTATTCTAATGACAGTCTGTTTCCTGGAAGTATCACCTCATGCCCTCTGAAGTTAGAACATGATGTAATTTATCTTGTAGTATAGTATCATGTATTCCACAAGATGCCCTCCTTTGAGAGCATTGTCTCCTCTTCAGTGTATTTTGATCTTTAAAATGGTGCTCTTAAATTATTTTTTCAAGTCCCATATCCTTGTTACCTGTTTATTTTGAAGAAAAAAAGAATATTAAAAGAAGGTATTGTAGCAAGGAAAAATAGCTCATTAAATGTTTTCTCCAGTGTATTTTCTTTCTTTTTTTTTTTGCTTTTAGGAGAGCACTGTGAGTAAGCCACTCCAGGATAATAATCCATCTGAAGAGAAGTCTAAAAACGCTGCAGTATTAGGTAAGAAATTAGCTTGACCTTTGCTTACTTACTATTATGATGATCAAAATGAAGGTGACTATATCACAAAATGAGCCATTTATTTAAATGAATTTCACTTTTTGTCAGGAAATAAATATGTATTTAATTGTAGCTTTGATATAATAGTATTTATTTTGTAACACTTCCAAAGCTTCTCTTTACTGGCTGTTTAGATTAAACAACCCTATAGTACATCTTGACCTGGTATTGTGATGCCTTCAAATTTATTTTTGTTGCTTAATATTGCATAAGCTATCCTGGATCTTGTGTTTCTATATGAATTTTAGCATCATTTTTTTCTGGATCTGAGAAGAATGTCATAGGTAGCTTGATTGAGTCACATTGAATCTGTAAATTACCTTCGGTAGTATGGGAATATTGATGATATTAATTCTACCAATCCATGAAATGGAGGATTTTCCATTTTGGAGGGTCTTATTCCACTTTTTAAAATGTTTTGTAATTCTCATTGTAGAGATCTCCCACATCCTTGTTTAAATTTATTTTAAGATATTAAATTTTTGTGCAGCTATTTTGAATGAGACTGATCTTACAAGTTTTTTCCCACCCACAGAATTGTTTGTATATACAAAGGTTGTTGATTTTTGTGATTGATTTTTTTTATTCTTTTAAAAAGGTGCTTTACTGCTTTCCCAGGCCACAAGAAGGCAGCTGGATGAGAAGTGGAGCAGCCAGGACACGAACTGTTGTCCATATTTGATCACTTGCAAGGCGAGGATTTAGCCATTGAGCCCTCATGCAAGGCCTGATTTTTCTTTTTATTCTATTGATTTTTAGAATTTTATTTTATTTTTAATCTTGATTACATAGTTGAGAGGGATGCATAGCTATGTGGGTCTCTGACTGGAAGGAGAGAGTTAAGGTATGAAAGAAGGTAGGTGAGATAAATGTTTAGTTCTTTTTTTTCTCCTGTGCCTGCAGTTAGAGGACAGGGGGGAAGGCACTCCTTGCTGTCAAACTACATCAGCACCCAGGGATGGAGATGGTCATTTTTTTTTTTAAATTACTAGAATCATTAAGACTGAGATGAGGAAGTTGTGAAACATTCCATCATGTGTGTTTTTTTAATTTACTTTTATTGAAAAGGCAGATAACCAGAGAGAAGGAGATACAGAAAGATTGTCCACTGTCTCACTCCCCAAGTGGCTGCAATGGCTGTAGCTCAGCCAATCTGAAGCTAGGAGCCAGGAGTTTCTTCTAGGTCTCCTACATGGGTACCAGAGGCGCTTGCAAGGCTAGGATTTAGCCACTTTGAATCATCCTCTACTACTTTCCCAGGCAACAAGCAGGGAGTTGGATGGGAAATGGAGCAGCTGGAACATGACCCAGTGCCCATACAGGATGCTAGTGCTTCCAAGTGGAGGATTAGCCAGTTTTGCCAACACGCCAGGCCATAGAGATGGTGATTTGATGTTATGTTAGTGACCTTGATGTGGGGAAGAATGCTCTCACAGTGTTACTTGAATGGTCTTGAAAGTTCTGAGTTGCTGTTGGTTTTGTTGTACCAGAGCTAAGGACATTTCTATAAGGTCTTTTGACTGACCAAGTCTATTTCAGGGTATCCACAGAACTAGACACTTGCAAAACCTGACCAGGAGAGTTGTTTAACCTGTTCTGCTTTCCATCTTTTGGTAAGGTACTTGGTGTCATCTGTTGACTTAGATGAGCTGGCTGTTCTATTCCTTATATGCACTTGGGTATGTTCTTCATTGCAAGAGCATTGGCAACTGAGGATGTCAAATCCTGATACATGAACTTTGAGGTTGAACCACAAATCCCTATGATTTTCCCTGAGGCCGGAGTTTGAGCCCAGTGGTCTAGTTGGAGAATCTCCCAAGAAATCTTACCTGGGAAGTCCTCACATTGGATTCATGTGTGCAGAGTCAGGTTTCATCCACCTCTTGAACCAGCTATGCATGTTGGATTTATATTCTTCAACTTTACCAAACTCTCTCATGAGCTCCTATGGTTTTATTAGTAGGGACTTTTGGTTCCCCTATATAGAGAATCATGCCATTTGCCTTCAGGGATAATTTAACTCCCTGCTTTCCAACTGGTATCCCTTTGATTTATTTTTCTTGCCTAATGACTCTGGCTAAAACTTCCAGGACCATATTGAATAACAGTAGTGATAGTGGTACCTTTTCTGTTCTGTGTCTTAGTGAAAATGCTTCTTCTAAGTTTTCCCCATTCAATATTATGCCTGCTGTGGTTTGTCATATATTCTTTTGTTGTGCTGAGCGTTGTCACTTCTTTTTTTGTTTGTTTGTTTTCTAAAGATTTATTTAATTTTTAAAAAAAATTTATTTTGATTTACTTAAAATTTTATTGGAAAGACAAATTTATATATAGAGAGATCTTCCATTCACTGGTTCACTCCCACAAAAGGTTGCTATAGCCAGAGCTGAACTCATCTGATCTGAAGCCAGATCCAGCAAATTCTTCTGGGTCTCCCATGTGGGTGCAGGGTCTCAAGGCTTTTGGCCATCCTCCACTGCCTTCTCAGGCCATAAGCAGGGATCTGAATGGGAAATGTTGCAGCTGTGACACAAACCAGTGCTCATATGAATTCCTAGCACTTGTAAGTGGAGATTAACCAGTTGAGCCATCACACCAGGGATGTTGGTCGTAAATACTAATTGGTATAGTAAAGTATCTTTAGAACATTTATTTTTTTTTCTTGTGTGGAATAATTATTCTTGTAAGATTTTTGACTCAAATTTTATTATCTTTTCTATCTACTACTTCTCTGGTTATATCAAGTTTCTTAATATACTTTTCTTTTTTAAAAAAATAAAGATTTATTTATTTTTATGCAAGTCAAATATACAGATGGAAGGAGAGAGAAAGATCTTCTATCCACTGATTCACTCCCCAGGTGGCCGCAATGGCCAGAGCTGAGCCAATCCGAAGACAGAAGCCAGGAGCCTCTTCTAGGTCTCCTGTGTGGGTTCAGGGTCTCAAAACTTTGGGCTGTCCTTGACTCCTTTCCCAGGCTACAAGCAGAGAGCTGGATGGGAAATGGGGCTGCTGGGATTAGAACCAACAGCCATATGGAATCCCAGCATGTGCAAAGCGAGGACTTTAGCCACTAGGCTACTACACCATGCCCCTATATGTTTATTTCTTAACTCCTAGTTATCTGCCAGGCTAGTAGAGCTATTGCATCCTTAACCTGTTCTTCGGGTGGAATATTAACAAATTGTCATTATCATTAGCAAAATGAAGGACAGTCTTTCTCATTGATTGGTATTTGCCATCTCATCTTTTTTTTTCATGTACCCAAATAATGTTTTGAGTCCCATTGGATCATCTAGTAACATCTGTTTTTGGTATCCATATTATAGCTAAATATTTGTTGATCATTCTGTTCCAGGAATTTTAATTTGATTATGTTAATCAATCCCTTAACAATTGGTTGAGGAAACTAACACTGTTATCTACATTTTTACAAATGAGAAAACTCACTATCAAACAGCTCAGTAGCCAATCAGAGGTTACATAACCATGAATTGATGTGATTGCATTTGAACCGTGTCAGTTTTATCTACAAGTTTGTAGCATTATTCACATTAGATGAGAAACTGAAACAATCTAATTTTCCCCAAATGGATAAATAGATAAGGAAAAGGTGGAGTACATTCACAATTCAACCAAAAAAATGAAATTAAATAGTTTATGACAACATCAATGTCATTATTTTTAAGTGGGATATGGAGAGACAGTTACTGCATAATCTCACTCATGGAAGTTGAGAGTAGACTGATAGGTACCAGAGACAGAAAGAGCAGAATGAAGAAACATGGATCAATAAGTACTAAGTTATAGTTAGGTAGGAGAAATAGGTTCTGATGATAAACCTTTGAGGAGATAGATGTATTTACTCTAATTTTAACATTATACAATGCATATTGTATCAAAACATCACAGCACCCCATATACATGTATATTTTTATTTGCTAATTAAAACTAATTATTTGGAAGGGAGCATTTTATCCAATGGTTAAAATACCTACATCCCTCATCAGAGTGCTTGAATTCCGTTACCAGTTCTGTTTCTGTAACACAAGCTTCCTCCTAATTAGGAAGGCCATGAAGGCAATGGTGATGGCTCAGTTAATTGGGTTTCTGATTAGCCTTATGGAATACAGAATTGTATACCTGTTTCCCGGTTCTAGCCTTGACCAAGCCCTGGCGAGCCAGTGGAAAAGAGCTCCATGTGTCTGTCTTCCTCTCTATTTATTTCTCTGCCTATGAACTAATTCCAAATAATTTTTTTTTTGAAAATGAACATTTTTTTTAAAGATTTATTTTTATTATTTTTTTATTGGAAAGGCGGATATACACAGAGGAGAGAAAGAGAGAGGAAGATCTTCCGTCCCATGATTCACTACCCAAGTGAGCGCAACGGGCCGATACTATGCCGATCCAAAGCCAGGAGCCTCTTCTGGGTCTCCCACGTGGGTGCAGGGTCCCAAAGCTTTGGGCCGTCCTCGACTGCCTTCCCGGGCCACGGGCAGGGAGCTGGAAGGGAAGCGGGGCTGCCGGGATTAGAACCGGCGCCCATATGGGATCCCGGGCGTGCGAGGCGAGGACCTTTAACCACTTGCGCCACCGTGCTGGGCCCTAATTCCAAATAATTTAAACAGAAAAATCACCTATAAAGGAGATGTGCACATGGTCAGCAGTTATATGACAAGTGCTTAGCATTACTAATGATCAAGAAAATGCAAATCAAATCATTGGATATCTATTAAGATGGCTCTTTTCAAAAAGCTCAAAAGATGAAAATGCTGGCAAGGTTTTGTAGAAGTTGTGAGTCCTTATCGGCTCTTGGGAAAGTAAAATGGTGTAGCCATTTGGAACACAATACACGTGTTACTAAAAAAATAATTTACAGATAACATCTTATGATTCTGCAACCCCACTTCTGAGTATCTATCCTAAAGAACTGAAATCAGAATCTCAAAGCAATGCCTGCATTTTCATTTTCATTATGGTATTATTCACTACAGCCAAGTTATAATAACAACTTAAATATCCTTCCATGGATGAAGCAATTAAAGAAAATATGTGTACACTGCATTAAAATAGAAGCACACTGCATTAAAATAGAAGAAATTCCTAACATATGTGACAATATGGATGAACCTCGAAAATGCTATGCTAAGTTAAAAAAGACAGTCACAGAAGGATAAACATTACATGACTCCACATATATGAAGTATACAAAGCAGTCAAACACACAGAATGGAATGGTAGTCCTGAGACTGAAAAAAAGGACAAATGGGGTGTAGCTACTCAACAAGAATAAAATTTTAATTATGTGAAATGATAAGTACTAGAACTCTGCTGGCTAAAAACCTTGTGTCTGTTAAACATCTGAAATGGTACATCTCATGTTACATAGTCTTTCCACAATTACAAGAAGGAAGCAAAAAGGAATTGACCAAAAAGATACAGATTGTGACCATAGTAAAGTTTTCTTTATTTTCAAATTATACATTTCTTCAAGTCTTAGTTCTTTGTGCTCCCATGCCTGTAAAGTTTTCTTTAGTATCCAGTAAGCATATATTGCTGATATTTCTAGGAAAATTTTACCACTGCTTCAATCAACCTTCCTGGAATAGTCATACTTTCTCTGACTTCATACATCATTCTTCTATTGTTTTTCTAATCTCCACCTTTTCATTTATCATCTGGGATTTATTTTATTTCTGTTCATAGCCTATACATGATTATATAAGTATGTAAAGTGTGTATTTTATACCTAATATTGTTGGCTCTGAAACTTTACCATGTTTTGCATGCTTCATCTTCACACTTTTCATCTGCCACACTTTCATCTTCCCAGAGCTTCACCAGCGCATTTTTGCTAAATATGTTATGTTACAATTGCTACTTTTCTTTATGTTGATCTTTGTGGTAAGAAAAATTATAATCGTATTTTGTCAATGTATATATGCATAAATAAATAACACATATATGATTTTGTGTAAAATAAACTATTTCTATTTTTCAGCACATGTTCCACCTGAAAACAAAGGGGCTACTACACTCAAGGTATAAAAAGTTGGAAGAGAATTTCTAATGATTATTATTTCATAAAGAGATGAAATATTTGTATGTGGAAAATTATTTCTAGATGGAAAGAGAAAAGCATCTAGAAAGTTGTTTAGTCATTTCTTAGTTATTCCTAGTAGCTATAGAGTTACATAATTTTAAGAATTAAATGATACTCCTTATAGAAATGTTTCTGCATAAAATAATGATATTTAAATATACATGTGGATATGGTGAACAAAAGGAGTTGAGGAAAAGAAAAAAAGTAAGAAAAAAATCTGTAGCTTAGTAATACAAGCTTAGGAATGGATACCATAGATAACAACATTTTTATTCTATCTCATACAATTTTAATTTATCATTGATAAACTTCATACAACTAGGAATCAATAAAATGCAGAGATGCATAATAAAATTTTATTTGTAGCTAATTTTGCTAAATATATTTATAATAAGACAGTAGATTCCTGTATAATTTAATAAGGTAGATAACATTTGACAAATAGCATTTAGTAACTCCCATCAATAGGCTGGTGGCTCCCAAGTGACAGTTTGTACTTTTTTTCCTGTGTCAAGCAGAGGAATGAAAAAGACATATTTATATATATAATTTTTCATAAAGCTAAATTTATTTTATTTATCATTATATGCTGTCTTATTTTGTAGCAGTCTCCTTTGTACAATTTTGTTATTAAAATTTTCTTTATTCTTTATACCATTTTATTACTAAAATTTTCCATGTTGAGTGACATATTGGTGATTGTGAGATGGTAAAATGTCAGATCTTCAGATTTTGTTTTTGAGCTGCTGATATATAAAATCTAGACATTGGAACTACTGCTTTGTAAATTTTTAAAAATATTTTATAGGTAATAGGCAAGTAGAAAATGTATCATGCCTTTTATTAAGCAATAAAATGACTTACAAGTATTAATAGTAACCTGTTATTGTAAAGATAAGGATATGATTTAAGTCATTTTATTAATTTAAAATACTTTGTAGTCACTAATGAGTAACTGGCAGCTTGTTACACTGTTGTATTTTCCAGTTGCCAGACAATGATGCAGAAGCCTTTGCCATGCCAACTTTGAGCCAGCCTTATCAAGATATTGCAATTGATGTTTCTTCTGCAAGTTATGATCCATATCTATCCATGGATACTCCATTTTTTACCGATCCTAGTCTAAGAATAGCAGAAGACAAAACACAGCCTTTACCTGAATTCCACTCAGAAGATGCTCCAGGTGGAAAGATGGAAAGATTATCCTTTCCTCCAGAAGTAAAATTTGGTGATGAAACTCCAAGAATTTTGAAAACAGACTCATCTCCAGCAGAGGTAAAGTTGAGGAAAGGTAGCTACATAAATCAAGAGAGAATAATGGGGAAAAAGTTAGATGCATCTTCAACAGAAATTAGGTGGCAAAGAAGCTCTCCAAACTTAAACGAGAGGAAGAGCATAAGCTTAGTATCTCACTATTCAACATCAGAAGCCCTGAGAGAAGATCTGGAGCTGAAGGGGTCTACTCTCATAGTGGAAGTGTAAGACCAGGAAAAGCAAAGTTTTGTAAAAGATAAATGCAAAGAAATTGAAATATTTTCAAATGTCCATAAGCAGAAATGTGTCTCTCTATATTAGATATTCCTACCCTACTTAAATGATCAAGAAAGGAAGAAAAACCCTTTGAAGAAAAAGCAATGATCTGGCATTCCATGAGTACAAATTTATTTCATGGGTTGGTGTTAAATTCAGCTAGAAGAGTTACAATAAGAAAACAAATTTAAATGTAATTAAAAAACCTAGAATGTTGTTGCAGTGAATTTTTTAGTTAAGCTGTTAAATTATAGGAAATAACATGTTGTTCCTGTTACAAATGATTTTATACTTTGTAATGAGAATGATCTGAATAAACATTTGTAGGTACAACGTGTAAGGCCTTCCTTTCTGGAAATAGCAGCTGTTCCACTTGCTCTTTTGAGTTTCCTTGAATCACTATTTCCAAAAATGGAAGAATCTGCCATACTCTCAGATTGAAAGAATTATCAAAATTTCTAAACTTCCCAAAATTATTTACAAATTCAGTGTACCCCCAATCAAAATACAAGTCACATTCTTCCGAGATCTAGAAAGAAAAACGATGCTAAAAATCAAATGGAAACCCAAGAGATCTAGAATAACTAAAGCAATCCTAAAAAAAAACAAAAATAAAGCTGGAGACACCACAATACCAGATTTCAGGACATACTACAGGCAGCAATAATAAAATCAGCTGGGTACTGGTTCAAAAATAAATGTGCAGACGAATGCACAACAAATCAATCCATCCATCTACAAACAACTAGTCTTGCACAAACGAGCTCAAATAAGTCACTGGAAAGAGGATGGTCTCTTCAACAGGTGGTGTGTGGACAGTTGGATCTCTATATGCATAAGTAAGAAACAAGATCCTGACCTTACACCTCATGCAAAAAAAAAAAAAACATAGATCAAGGATTTAAATCTAAGATATGATATCATCTAGTTTCTGTAGAACAACATGAGGGAAATTTTGCAAGACAGTGGCCTAGCTAAAAACTTCTTGGAAAAGACCCCAGAAGCATGAGCAATATCAGCAAAAACAGGATCACATCAACCTAAGAAGCTCTGCACTGTAAAGAAAAGCCATATATATTCCTGGCATTTTAGATTTCTCTTTTACTTTTACTAGGAGATTGTATGCCTTCATGGTCTATCATAGTCATGACTTTCATTTTCCTTCTGTGTGTAACACACACTTAAGCATCATCTGTGGGGTTGGAAACTGATGCCAATTTTTTTTTTTTAATTTGAAGGCATGAGCTAGGTCAGGCCAATGAGCCCTGTTGAGTCTCATGTGTGGTGCAAGAGTCCAGAGTGTCAGCTGGTGGAAGGGTGTGATCTGTTGGTGTGATTACTGCCTGTCCTCCTCTCCTGTCATGCTTGATGGTGTTTCACATTAGCAGCAGCTACCTTCTGGCTGCAGTGGTGTGTCTCTTCACTCCTTTTGATCCAAGGAATTCTTCTTCTCACTTTTTCAATGAAAATCTACATGAGGCCCATGAAATAGTAGTTCTTTTCTTCTTCTTTTCCTCTCCTGCGACAGCTAAATTTAGTGTAACAGCACCCTACTCAACATTTTTGGACCTCCTTTAACAAGATCCTTGGCCCAAGAATGTACTGTAGCACCCAGTATTCTAAAGAACGTTGCAAGTGCTCTCATCTAATAGAAATTAAGATGCCACACATGATTTTTTAATAACAAAATTTTTTTTTACTTGAAAGATTGTTACAGAGAAAGAAGGAGAAACAATAAAGGAGGTGTTCAATCTGCTGGTTCATTCCCCAAATGGTCACCATGGCCAGAGCTGAGCTGATCCAAACTTAGGAGCCAGGAGTTTCTTCCTGGCTTCTTACGTGGGTGCAGAAGCCTAAGACTTTGGGCCATCCTCTGCTGCTTTTCCAGGCTTGCCCAGAAATATTTTCTTAGGATTCTGAATATAAAGAACTGAGTACTTTGTTTTTCAGGCCACTGCTATTAATTATATATTATATATTTCACTCTAGAGCTCTTAGGGGGAGCTTGAACATGTTGATATCTTGATTTCAGTTCTCCAACTTAATTTTTTAACTTTTGCTCTCTGGAACTGGTTTTATAGTTTTATATAAATTTATATAGTTTTAAACCATCAAATATGATATATTGCTGTTACAATCAAAATTTAGATTCTGTTAATAAAAAACGACATGCAAAATGGTTATTGTATATTCAATTAGCATAGTACTACAAATATGTTTCCTATATTTATTGGATGTTTTCTTCAGCTAAAAGGTATGTTAAAAATTACCAATATTTTAAAATATAAATTGCCTTCAACACACATTTCTGTTTGTGAATGTAGAAAGAATTCCTTGAAACAACTGTATTTCCTATGTCCTCAAGTTCTGTTCTTGAACATACTGGAATTTTTTATTACCATTGTAATTAATCCATTATTTTCAAGGTCATCCATGACTTCCATGCACTAAATGTGATGATCAGTTCTCATTTTTCTCACTACTTAGCAACATTTGGCACAGAGAGTTGCATCTTTTTCTGGAAACTGATTTTTAACTGGCCTTTTGTAATATCACACTTTCCTGGTTTTCTTCCTTCTTCACTTGGCTGCACTTCGCTACAGGATAGAGGCTCTCCTTAGATATTATTGCACCATCCGGGACAATGACCAGAACTCATTTGCCGCAGTTACCATACACCTCCTAATACCTAATGAAGGCATAGACACTCAACTACAAAGGCATATTTCAAAGATAAAAGTTGTCAAAGGAGAAAACCAACAAGTGGTCCAACAAATGCCTAGAAATAAATGCGGAAGCATGAAAAATGTGAACAAGGGAGACAGAATGACTCTCTCAAGGAACACAATATTATTTCAACATTAGAATGCAAAGATGAAGAGATTAGTGAAATGCCTGAAAATGAAATTTTAAAAAGTTCACAAAGCTACTGAAAATAGATGCATAAATTAAGGAAATCCATACATAGCATGAATAAAAAATTTTCTCATGAGATTGAGATAGTTTAAGAAAAATCAAACTGAATATTGTAAATGAATAATTCAATATGCCAAACAAAAAAGCACAGTGGAAAGTCCTCTAAGATGTAATCTACAATGTAAAAGTCAAATTTTTGAAAGTAGACCGAAAGTGAGAAAAATTGAAAATAATGTCAGAAATCTGTGGGACACTATTAAACACCTAATAACCCTCTCATAGAGGTTCCTAATGGAGGGAAAAGAACGGATTAGAAGTCCTAATCAATGAAACGATAACAGAACATTTTCCTCATTAGAAAGAAAGGGACATCCCAATACAGAAATTACATAATAGACAACCCAAAAGGTCTTCACCACAACACATTGTAGTCTGATTTTCCACAGTAAAACATAAAGATTCTAAAATGTGCATGACAAACACCAGATTACCTTGATGGGATCTCCAGTTAGCCTGACAGCCAATTTCTTTGTCAGAAACCCTACAGGCTTGGAAAGAATGGAAAGACATAGTTCAATTCTTAAAAGTAAAATCAGTGCAGAATACTGTACCCTGAAAAGCTGTAATTAACAACAACAACAAAAAAGGTAAAAGGCTCTGAACAAGTTGAAAGAATTCGTTACCACTGCTTCAGCCTTACAAAAAATGCTCAAGGGATGTCTTACACGTGAAATGGAGAATGATCATCATTATGAAAGAATGTGAAGGCAAAAAAAATCTCCTAGTACAAATACAAAGAGAGTCTGAATAATATACATGGAAAATAGCGTGGCTAAGTTGTTACATATCAATAACTTTATAAATGACCTCAATTTTCCAATTTAAAGATATAGACTGGCTCATTGGGTTATAAAATAGGATGCATTTATTTTCTACTTACAAGACACACACTTCACCAACAAAGATACACACAGACTAAAAGAGAAAGGATGGAAAGCAAAAAAGAGCAGAAATAGCCATCCTAATATCAGACAATATAGACTTTAACCCAAAAACTATCAAAAGAGACAAACAATATGTGATAATTACAAAATTAATTAAACAGGAAGATGTGACTATAGTAATCATGTATGCACCTAATGCCAGTTTGCCTGGCTGTCTAAACACTATAGGGGTATAAAGAGAGACATAGGTTTCAATACAACAATAATGGGGGTATTTGGCACACAGTTTTATCAATGGACAAATGAATTATACAAAAAAGGAACAACAGAGCTAATCTATAGTATAAATGAACCTAATATCAACAGAATATTTCATCTCATAGCGACAGAGTACACATTTTTCTCATCAGTGCATGGAACTTTTTCTATACCATGTGGCAGGCCATAGGTAAGCCTCAACATATTAAAAAATTGCAATAATACACATTTTTGTTTATGTAGAGTGGACAAGTTTCACTTATATCCCAATATGGATTTGGGAGCATAGGGATACTTCTCGTCCTACCCCACCTCCAGCCTACATTTCCCACCCACCCTCCTTCTCTCTTGCTTTTGTTTCTAATTTTTATGATTGCTTACTTTGATTTCACTTCACAATCACAGGCTTAATGCCCTATTAGGTAAAGGCATCAAGTAGAAATTATTAAAAGAGCAAAAAAAAAATCTCCACTCTTTCTGTGAAATATAAATAGACTATATATAATAATCAAATGACAGAACATTACTCTTGCTCTTATAAATAAATTATAATTTTGTATTCTGTGTATTATAGATCAGGGAAACATGATGCTTGTTTTTGAGGGACTGGCTCATTTCACTAAGCATAATAGATTCCAGTTTCATTCACTTTGCTGCAGAAAACATTTCACTTTTTATGTATGAGTAGTATTTCACTGTGTACAATTATTCAGTCATTAGCTAATTGACATCTGTGTTGATTCCACATCTCAGATACTGTGAATTGTGCTGTTATAACTACAGGGTTGCAGATAACTCCTTTGGTTAAGATAAATTCTCAGGAGTGGGATGGTTGGGTCATATGGTAGATCTATTTTCAGATATCTGAGGAATCTGCATACTGCTTTCCATAATGGCTGTACTAATTTACATTCCCACCAACAGTGGAATAGAGTACCTTTTCAACCACATCCTCACCAGCATGTATTTATTCATTTAGATTTCTGGGTAATAGTCATTCTAATTGGTGAAGTGAGGCCTCATTGTGGTTTTTATTTGCATTTCTCTTGTGACTAGTGATCCTGAACATTTTTGTTTTCTTGTATCTGTTGCCATTTGAATTTCATCTTTGGAGAAATGTCTGTTCATGTCCTTTGTCTATTTTTTTATTTGTTTATTTATTTTATTTTTTTAAGATTTATTTTATTTTTATTGGAAAGGCGAATATACACAGAGGAGAGACAGAGAGGAAGATCTTCCGTCCGATGATTCACTCCCAAGTGAGCACAACGGCCAATGCTATGCCAGTCTGAAGCCAGGAGCCTCTTCTGGGTCTCCCTCGCGGGTGCAGGGTCCCAAAGCTTTGGGCTGTCCTCGACTGCTTTCCCAGGCCACAGGCAGGGAGCTGGAAGGGAAGCAGGACTGCCGGGATAGAACCAGCGCCCATATGGGATCCTGGGCGTGCAAGGCGAGGACTTTAACCACTGCACCATCGCGCTGGGCCCTATTTTTTTTTTTCTATTTTTAAGAAGATTTATTTATTTTATTTGAAAGACAGAGATAGAGAAGGAGAGACAGGGAGACAGGTCTTCTGTCCACTGTTTTGCTCCATTGTAGGCCACAACAACCAGAGTTGTGCTGATCTGAAGCCAGGGGCTTCTTCTGGTCTCCCAGCAAGGATGCAGAGGCACAGCTGGGGCATGATCCAGCACCCATTTGGGATCCCGGTGCTATCCAGGGGAGTCTTAACCAACTTAGCCATCACATCAGACGCAGGCAGTTGATTTTTGGCTTTATATCCTGCAAGTTTACCAAACTCTCTTATGAGCTGTGATATTTTCTTGCTAGGGCCTTTTGGTACTCCTGTGTAAAGGATCATCTCATCTGCCACAAAGGGTAGTTAGACTTTCTCCTTTCCAATTTGTATTCTTTGATTTCTTTTTCTTGTCTAATGACTGGCTAAAATTTCTAAGACTATATTGAATAGCAGTGATGAGAGTGGACATGTTTGTCTGGTTCTAGATCTTAGTGGGAATGCCTCCAACTTTTCCTTATTCAATTAGATGCTGATTATGGGATTTTTCTCATAGTACCCTGATTATGTGAATAAGTGATCCTCATATATCAAATTACTTAAGTTTTTTTTATTATGATTGGATGTTGTGTTTTATCAAATGTTTCTTTTCATTTATTAATCATATGATTTTTATTCTTTAGTTTGTTAATGTGCTGTATCACAGTTATTGATTTGCTTACATTGAACCATCCTTCATACTGGGGTTAAATCTCACTTAGTCTGGGTGAATGATTTTCCTGATATGTTGTTGGATCAAATCAGCTAGGGTTTTGTTGAGGATTTTTCTATATATGTTCATCAGGGATTATTTTTGGTAGTTCTCTTTCTTTGTTGTATCTTTTTTCTGATTTTGGGATGAAGGTGATTCTAGATGCACAGAGGAGTTTTGGAGGATTTCCTACCTTCCAGTGGTTTCAATAGTTTGAGAAGAACTGGAATTAATTTTTCATGAAGGATTTGGAAAAATTCAGCAGTGAAGCCATCCTGTCATGGGCTTTGCTTTGTGGAGAGGATTTTTATTACTGATTAAACTTTCATGTTGGAGATTGGCCTAGACCTAGAGTTTGACTGAAATATGTTATAGTGAAGGTCTTTTCTGTCCTTTCCTATTTGGAGTTCTCTGGAATTCCTGTATTTGGATACTGATTTTTCCCCATGTTTGAGAAATTTTTAGTTAATATTTCACAGAATAGACCTGCTAGTCTAGTTTCTGTTTCCACACCTTCAAGAACTACTTAGCCATCTGTGCTAGGGCCTTTGATGATATCATGTAACTCTTGGAGACATTTTTTGGATTGGTTTCATTAATTTTTGTTTAATATTTTCCCCTAGAATGTTGTTCTTTCTCAGAGATTTTCTTCTGCCTCACCATATCTGTTGTTAAGGCTTTCCATTATGTTCTTATTGGCATAGTGGCTTCTTCGTTTCTCTTTACAGTTTGGATCTTACGGGATAACTTCATTCATGTCTTGGATTTTCTTAATTCCAGGATCTGATTCTTGTTCTGAGTACTCTTAAGAGCATTTTTTAAAAAATTCATTTTTCTGACATTTCATTGATTTCATCCTTATCATGTTCTAAGACTAATATATTGCATTCCTTTTATTTCTATGTTTACTTTTAGGTATCTGTGAAAACACCCATTGGTTTTCCTATGATGGTTCTTGTCTTTAAATTATACCTCTATCTTTGGAGGAGTTAAAACTCCTTCAGTGAAAGTCCAGAGGAGTAAATGTGGGGTGATAGTCCAGGGTGGCACTCAAATTGGGCATGGTAAATCTTGTTTTTCAACAGCAGAAGGGAGTGATCATGACTGTCAGCATAACCACTACTTTGCCTTCTCTCTTTGTCCACGGTCAATGGCCCTGTATTAGCCCAATGTGGCTGTAATATTCACCCATGTTAGCACATGAACTGCACAGAGGATCTCTGTGTTGCCTCTGTGAGCACAAAGTCCTACCACAGTATGCCTTGAAATATCTGCGATCTCTTAGCTTTTCATATCAGACACACTGACTGTCCAGAGAGAGCCCCATGTGCATGTCACGCCCTGTCATGCTGTTACATTTCCTGTGGCCTTTGTGTGTAGGACTTCCAGAGTCACTGGAAGTTGGGGATGCTCAGAGCACTCTGAGTGTGCCCCTCCCTTGGGCAGTGAAACAGTGTTCCTGGTGCTCCTGAGCCTGTAGCAGTGTGACAGGCTGTGTGTGCCTGCACCAGCACAGACTTAAATGCCATGGGGAGAACTTATTTGTACTCCTTCTGAAGTTAGTGCACATGCACACATGCTGGCAAATGCTATAGCTGCTGCTTACCTTCACTGACTTTTAAGTGACATCATACCCCTATTGGTCCAGTCCTCCTGTAGGTGGTGGTGGGGATAAAGAGGGCTCTTCTACAACAATGATTTTAGGACTCCCAGCATCTTCCTTAATCTAATCTAAGGCTGAAATCAGTGTAAGATTTTGCAACAGGCAATATTTTCACCACGTTGGATTTCACAGTCAGTGTGCAAAAAGCCACTGCTACTTCCCATGACTTCAAAATGGCACTGGCTCCAATCTGGTCTGAGCACACAAATATTAGCTAGAGACAGGAAAAGATCATTCAGGATATATGAACTGGTACCCATAGGGATGCTGGCATTACAGGTGATGGCTTTACCCACTACACCACAATGCTGGCTGCAGGGGCACTTGTTTTTTTTTTTAAAAAGATATCTTTTTTTTGGGGGGGGGTCCCATTTTCCTGCTTGAGTGACTTTAGATCACTTAGAAATTATGACATACTAAAACTCTCCTTGTTCTCCCTCTCCTTACTACCCATTTCTTTTCTCTGCTAGGATGGAATTCATAAGAGAGATAGGAAAAAAGTAGTCTTACGGAAGAAGGAAATTCTGCCGAGAACCGTGAAGAGTCACTGTCAGGTACCATTCCCTACTACTCATCAGTTATGCTGTGCCCAGAAGAGTGCTCTAATCTTTTAAAAGTCAACGAAGGAAAAATAACAAGATAAGATTCAACAATCATGTACAGCATAAATAATCAGAAAATCAGGAGTGGAGCCGAACTGCTTTAATCTGATGAAGGGTTTATGCAAACTCATTATTGTTTCTGATCCAAAAATAGGTAAGATGAAGTATTAGGATTAAGACTTTAGTGTAGAAACATTTTGGATAGAAGGTAAATATGTGGTTATTTTCTCTATTCTAGCTGTAAAGGGCTAAAGAAAAACTTTAAAACACTGTATAATTGGTATCAAAAGTAGTGAAAGTCTAGAAATAAATCTGACAAAAAATTTATACCTGAGCTTGAAAAAATTCCATAAAATTACTCAACAAAATTAAAGAAGAGATATGCCATGTTCAAACATTTGAACACAGGCGAGGCAACAAAAAACAGTATGGAAAGGGTTATTGAACTTACAGCTTGCATGATGGCTTCCTTATATTAGAGAGAACATAGATTGTATTTGTCCTTTGGGGATTAACTTATTTCACTGAGCATAATGGTCTCTAGTTGGGACCATGTAGTTGCAAATGGTATAATTTCATTTTTAAATGGCTAAGTAGTATCACGTGGAGTACAATTACCACAGTTTCTTTATCCACTCCTCTTTGGATGGGCATCTGGGTTGTTTCCATGTCTTTGCTATTGTAGATTGTGTTGCTATAAATATAGAATTACAGATTCCTTTCTCACATGCAGATTTCATTTCCTTTGGATATATTTCCAGAAGTGGGATAGCTGGGTCATATGGCAGGTCAATTTTCAGTTCTCTTAGCATTCTCCATACTGATTTCCATAACGATTGTATTAACCTATGCTCCCACCAACAGTGAAGGAGAGTACCTCTCTTCCCATATTCATGCCTGCAGGTTATTGTTAGTAGGTTCTGAATCTAGGACAGCCTCACTGGAGTTAGGTGGAACCTCAGTGTGGTAATCTCTTTAAAATTTATTTTATTTTATTTTATTTTTATTGGAAAGTCAGATATACAGAAAGGAGGAGAGACAGGGAAGAGATCTTCTACCTGCTGATGGTCTCTGGGTGCAGATTTAGGTTCTTGATCCATTTAAGAGCTGATTTTTGTGTAAAGTGACATGTGGGAGGCTGCTGATTTTTCCAGGAGTACTTACTGAAAAGACCAGATTTTTTCCTTGGATTATTTTCAGTTCTCTTGTCAAAGATTAATTGGTTGTACATGTGTGGGCTCCCTTCTGGGATTTCTGTTCTGTTCCATTGACCTTCTTGTGTTTCTGTACTAGTACCAGATTGGCTTTGAGGACCACTTCTCTGTAGTATGTATTGAGGTCTTGGAGTTGTGCTTCCTCCTGTTTGATTTTTATTCTTCAGGATATATTTGGCTATTAGTGGTCTCTTGTGTTTCCAGATGGACTTTTGTATCATCTTTTCTATTTCTGAGAATAGTGTTGGGATTTTGATTGGGATTGCATTGAATCTGTATATTACTTTTGGTAATATGGACTTTTTGATGATGTTGATGGGAGATTTCACCATCTTTTAATGTCTTCTATTTCTTTTTCTTTTTCTAAATGCTTTGTAGTTTTTGTTTTTTGAAATGTTTTAAGATGTTTTGTGATTCCTCTCCATTATTTTAAAATTTCTATTTTAGCCATGAAGTTATTTGTATATACTAGTACCATCACTTTGTGTTCATTAATTTTGTATCCTGTTATGCTTTCAAATTATTTTATGAGTTCCAAGTGTCTTGATTGAATCTTTTGGTTCTCCTATGCAGGGAATCATGTCATCTACAAACAGGAATATTTTTAATTAATCAGTTCTAATTTGAATTCCTTTGTTTTTCTTGACTAATAGCTCTGGCAAGGACTTCCAATATTATATTGAATAACAGTGGTGAAGATGGAGAGTTCTAAGCATTTAGAGCACAGAACTAAGTATTTAGTGCCAGATCTCAGTCAAAAAGCTTTTAGTCTTTCCCCATTTAGTATTATGCTGGCATTGAGTTTTTCATATATTGCTTTGATTGTATTATAGAATGTACTTCTGTGCCCATCTTGCTTAAGGTTTTAGCATGAAGTGGTATTGCATTTTGCCAAATGCCTTCTCCTCTGCATCTATTGAAATGATCATATGGTTTTTATTTTTTGATTTGTTGATGTGGTAAATCACATTTAGTATTTGTAAATGTTAAACCACCCTTGCATAGTAGGGATAAATCCCAGCTGGTCCAGGTAGATAATCTTCCTTAAGTACTGTTGGATCCTGTTGTCTAGTATTTTGTAGAGGATCTTTGTGTCTATATTTATCAGGAATATTGATCTGTAGTTCTCTTTTTTTATTATAAAGATTTATTTTATTTTTATTGGAAAGGCGAATATACAGAGAGGAGAGACAGAGAGGAAGATCTTCCGTCTGATGATTCACTCCCCAAGTGAGCACAACGGCCAATGTTATGCCGATCCTAAGCCAGGAGCCTCTTCCGGGTCTCTCACGCGGGTGCAGGGTCCCAAAGCTTTGGGCCGTCCTCGACTGCTTTCCCCAGGCCACAAGCAGGGAGCTGGATGGGAAGCGGGGCTGCCGGGATTAGAACCGGCACCCATATGGGATCCCGGGCGTGCAAGGCGAGGACCTTTAACCACTGCGCTATCGGACCGGGCCCTGTAGTTCTCTTTTTCTGTTGTGTCTCTATCTGGCTTTGGTGTTAAGGTGATACTGGCTTCATAGAAAGAGTTTAGAAGAATTGCCTCCTTTTTTATTGTTTGGAATAGCTTGTGGGGGATTGGTGTAAGTTCTTGAAATGTTCAGTAGATTTCAGCAGTGAAGCCATCTGATCCAGGGTGTTCCTTGGTTGAGAGGGATTTGATTACTGATTCAATCTCAGTCTTTATTATAGGTCTATTTAAATTATTAATTGCCTCATGATTCAGTTTTGATAGATTGCATGTGTCCAAAAATCTATCCATTTCTTCTAGGTTTTCTAAAATAGTTGCTTGTAATAGTTCCTAATAATTCTATGTATGTCTAAGATGTCTGTTGTTATATTTCCCTTTTCTATCTGATCTTATTGATTTGTATCATCTCCCTCCTCTTTTTGATTAGTTGGGCCAGTGGGTGTCTATTTTGTTGATTTTCTAAAAGAACCAGCTCTTTGATTTTATGTATTGTTCTTTTGATCTCTATTTGTTCTTTTTTCTCCCTTATTTTGGTTTTTTCTTTTTTCCTGCTAATTTTGGGATTGCTTTGCTGCCAATTTTCTAATTCTTAAAAAGTAAGGTTAGCTCATTTACTTGGTACTTTTCTAATTTCTTAACATAATCATTGATTGAGATGAACTTTCCTCTTAACACTGCCTTGATTATGTCCCATAAGTTTTAATATGCCTTGTTGATGCCTTGATTTGTTTCAATTTCTTATTTCCCTTTTGATTTCCTCTAAAACCCATTGTTAATTATTGTTAATTTAGCAGCATATTATTTAGGTCTTTGCATGTCTTCTGGGATAATCTGAGTTATTGGTTTCCAGTTTCACTCCATGATGGTTTGAGAAGATGCATAGTATAATTTCAGTTTTTTTTTTTTTTATTGGAAAGGTGGATATATAGAGAGGAGAGACAGAGAGGAAGATCTTCCATCCGATGATTCACTCCCCAAGTGAGCGCAACGGCCAGTGCTATGCCATTCCGAAGCCAGGAGCCTCTTCTGGGTCTCCCATGCGGGTGCAGGGTCTCAAAGCTTTGGGCCATCCTCGACTGCTTTCCTAGGCCACAGGCAGGGAGCTGGAAGGGAAGCAGGGCTGCTGGGATAGAACCGGCGCCCATATGGGATCCTGGGCGTGCAAGGCGAGGACCTTAACCACTGCGCCACCACGCCAGGCCCTAATTTCAGTTTTTAAAATGTTTCAGTCAATGATTCATGTCACTTAATAGTGGTCTGTCAGGCTGGGTCCAGGACCTTGAAGGAGAAGGGAGAGGTGCTCAATTCTTCAACTCTATCCCACAGTTCACTGTCTGCATGTCGTAGTTGGGCTGGCTGTGCAAAGGACCTTGGAATTGCCAAGACAACCAAGGAGAAGGAAAAAAAAATAATAAAAAGCACAAGCCATTTCCCCTAAAGCCAGAGTCCAGGTGGACACTCCACTTCCTTACCTCTTCAAGGGGCAGTGCTTTCCTATCACTTAGCTTTGAATAAAAATTCTGTTATGCTTGCACTGGTTTCCTGGCTTTTTATTTCTATAGTAAGCTGAGGAAAGAACCCACTGAGCTTCATCAGTAGCAGTCTCATAAGACTATTTTATTAGATGGACCCAAAATGGCTGAATAGGGTGAAGCCGTACTAACTACAGCTGCCCTGGAATAAAACAACAGCAAAAACAGCAACAACATTTTCAAGGGTTTAACTGACAGAAATACTCAATGGAGATGTAGCAATGAATCAAGACTCCATGGTACAGTGAGAAAAGAGGCCAGAGACACAGCTAAGGCTGGATGCACAGCTAAATTAAGGTAAGGAAGAAGCTGCCCTGCCCCCTGCTCCCTGCCCCATGCCCCCCTCTTAATACCTCCCCCTCCCACACCAGCAGATTTAGTGGAAGGAGAATTCCATAGTCACCCACTGGCTAACTTCACCCTGGCAAGCAGCTAATAGGAGTCTGAGAAGTTGCTGGCCCCTAAAAAGCCAGATTGCCTCCCTCCCTAACTGCTGCAGAGTTCTGGGCTTGCCTGTGATTTGTTGCACAACTTGTCTCTGTACTACTGCTAACAGAAGCAATCAATTCGGGCAACTTGGGGAGCAAAGGTCAGACCTCTTGCGTTCTGCAACTATAGGTGTTTGGGGGCATTAGCCTTGGAGCTATGGTCAATTGCTTTACATGAGCTAAAGAGATTCCTCTTAGCTTTTGTAGCAGTCTATAAAAAATCTGCTCCCATCTTGGGAAATCTGGGTAATGAGCCCATTGGACCTTGAAACACCAGGATTGCAACAGTCTGTTGTTGGGAAATGAATGCAATCTAGGGATGTTGACGTTACAAACTGAGACACCAGCTTCACTCTAATATAAGAACTGCAGAAAGGCCAATTCACATCACACAATCCTAGAGACACAAAAATAGGGAACAATAGCTCCATCATCACTCAGGGTTGGCAATGGGACAAGGGTACAGCCCCCTTTGTCTCCCTGAGCACCGAAAACTAGGCCATGGCCATCACAGTCCCCAGCGTGACACAAAACTCTGGGAGCTACACACTGTAGGATATTCACATTCATTTCAAAATCATGCTTCTAGCCCTATGAACTGCAGAGCTCTAGTTCTAATTTTGTCAGCATCACTGAAATCTACTTGGTGCATCCCGGAAATAACTTACTTGCATTCTATCTCTAGTCTCAACTCTTGAGGAGTGAATGAAACCTGTTCCAGTTTTACCGTGTGACTACAAGGTAGAGATGCTAGGACAAGATAGTGGCTTGAATACTCACTCATGGTATCACTTTACAAACAAATGGCATTGCTTTGTGGCTCATCTGTTCCACTTCCCATCCAGCTGCCTGCTTGTAGCCTGGGAAAGCAGTGTGCCATATAATGCAGATGTCAATGTAGAAATGTAAGAAACAAGATTGCATTGTACCTCCTAAAGAACACAGCAGCTTTCCAGAATTAGATCCTGATTTGAAGGAAATCTATGAAATGCCAGAAATAGGATTCAAAATAATGATCATAAGGAAATCCAGTGTGATGCAGGAGAATATAGATTAAAGAAATGAGGAAATCAGTGACACGAATGAAAATATTAAGGAGACCACAATTCTTAAGAGGAACCGAATATTTTGGAGGTCAAATCTACAATCAATGAAATTTAAAAATGACTGAGTTTTAATAGTAGAATAGACCAAGTGGTGAAACAAACTTCTGACCTTGAGGGCAAGACTTTCAAGTTAATTTGATAGAACAAAAATAAAAAGAATGGAGAAAATCTACATGAAATTTGAGATACCATTAAATAACCAAATATTCATAATATAGGTATTCCTTAAGTAGAAGAGAAGAAAAAAGGTGTTGAGAATCTGCTAAACGAAATAATGGCTGAAAACTCCCTAGGTCTTGAAAAAGACTTGGACATCCAAATCAAAAAAGATCTTCCCCAAGACACATTGTAGTCAAATTTTCAACAGTTAAGGACAAGGAGAGAATAGTGAAGAGAGTTAAATTGTCAAGATACATACATATATAAAGGAAAACCAGTTAGACTAACTCTAGTCTTCTCAGGAGAAACACTAAGGGGCAGAAGAGAATAGGATGATATGTTCAAGGTGTTAAAACTGGGTTAAAACTGTAAAAACCTTCCATGCAAAGAATACACTTCAGAATTATAAGGACTATGTGTAACAAACCAATAGCCAAAATCATACTAATGATTACAGATGAAAGCATTTCCCCTCAGATCTGAAACCAGACAAGGATGTCCACTTTCATCACACTTAATAAATATGGTACTGAACTACTTAATAAGAGAAATCAGGAGAAAAGAAATAAAAGACACTAAAATTAGAAAAGAGACAGTCAAAATATCCTTGTTTGCCAAAGACATGATGTTTGCTGTACATGGAAAAACACAAATACTCCATAAAAGAGCTGTTAGAACTGATAAACCATTTCTGTATAATTCCAGTTGCAAAATAGCTTCTTAAATACTAACAATGGACTCACTGAAAGAGAAGTTAAGAAAGAAATCTCATTTAGTTGTCACAAAAATAATCAAAGTCTTAGGAATAACTTTAGACAAAGTAATGAAAGGTCTTTAAAATGCAAACTATAAAACAGGGAGACAAGAACTCAGGAAGAATACAAAAGATATTTTCCTGTCTCGTGGATTGGAATAACCGATATAATTAAAATGCCCGTTCTAGATAAAGCAATTCACAGATTCAATGAAATCCTATTAAAATACCAATTACATTTTTTTCACAGAATTAGTAAAAACAATCCAAAAGATCATTTGGGATCACAAAATACATAGACTAACACAACAGATCCCAAGGAGGGTAGGGATCAAGTTAGAGGCATTACAATACCTAATTTCAAAACATATTACAAAACAATAGCAAGATGGTACTTGCATAAAAACTGATGTATAGATCAATGGAGCAGAATAGGGATCCCAGACATTAATACACATACATGCTATCAAATGATTTTTGACAAAAGTACCCAGTCTATACATTGGAACAAGAATGATCTCTTCAGTGAATAATGCTAGAAAAACAGAATTATATATAAAAAGGAATAAAAATTTTTCCGTACTTCTCACCATATACAAAAATTAGCTCAAAATGGGCCAAAGACCTAAGTTTATGAATCGAGACAATGAAATTCCTAAAACAAAATGAAGGCAAACACTCACAAGAAATTGAGTAAATGACCACTTGTTCAACTAAGGCCCCTAAAATTTAGGCAACCAAGGAAAAGCTAGACAAATGGGATTGTATCAAGCTAAGAAGTTTCTGCATAATAGAGTGATGAATAAAATGATCAAACATCTAGCAGAATGGAAAAATATATTTACAAACTTCTCCAACAAAATATTAATATCCACAATATATCAACAATTTAAACTCAACAACAAGAAAAGTTGTGTTGAGAAATGAGCAAAAGCCTCACCTTTAGGCAACTGCCCAGGTTGCCTTGTACCTAGACAAAGCTTGCACTGCTGAGAGAAAAGCAGCCAGTAGCTGACAGGCATTCTGGGCCTGGTTAATGATAAACTTGTATTAACTATACCAGTGTGCCAGCATAGTTGCCTATACATTTTTTGTTGTTCAAGCTATGTGGAGAAGGCAGGGAACACTGGGCCGGGCACCTGCACTTTCCTATATTATTGCTAAACTGCAATCTTTTAACTTTTTACTTGTTGATCTCTTATTTAGTTGAACATTAATCCTTTGACTAGAATGCTAATTAAAAATGTTACCTCAGTGGCGTGGGAGGGAACTTGGGAAGGTGGAGGAGAAATCCCAGAGCGTATGGAACTGTATCATAAGACAATAACAAAAAATTATTTAAAAAGTGAAAATAAATGTTACCTCAAAGACTAGAGGAGGAGGAGAGAGGGAGCTAAGAAGGGAACATGGTTACGTCCTTGGAGCTGCATCGGTGTGCTACACTGAGCACAATTTTGGTATCAATATTAACATGAAAAATAAAGAAAAATTATTTTGCCTAATCACATGATAGCTGTTTTAATGTATGCAAGTACATATTAAGATACAGCAAAAGAAAACTCAAAATAGCCCTATTTGCACCATAACCTAGTAACAACTCTGGGTATACTAAGGAGTTAAGAAGTAAATAAAAATAAGAAGTAAAGTTAGACTGTGTAGGTAAGTCCAGATTAATAAACATGTGATCTTAGTGATTGGGTGATCAAATTAAATAGGTAATTGATACACATTCATTTGAGAACATAAAGTAATTGAAAATTCAAGTGAAATAAAAGGTGAGTGACTAGGGAAAAGGAGTTCATATTTTCAACTTACACGGAATTCTTAACAGTACATAAAATCAGAAGTATACCAGTTGGGTAAAATGGTGAAGCCATATTTTAAGTATATTCTTTGATATTAGTCTTGTTTTTAATTTGTTTAATCTTTGAATTACTATTTTTGATTCCTGGGGCTTGGTGAATGAAAAGAGGCTAATGATGTGCAGTGCTAATATCATGTCCTTTAACCATTCAGTACGTCCTACTTTCAACCTCCTAACAAAATACTTCCACAATGCACGTGCCTTGCCTTTTCCCAGTTGTGCTGGATAAATCATAAATGGATGATTTTTCTCCTATTAAAAGCAAATAGTAACATTTAATTTTACTATATGTAGTCATCAAAATATTAAGTTTAAAATTATGTTTATTACTTTTTCTACTCATTTCTCTTTTTTTAGAATAACTCAGAAAAAGAAAATATAAAATTTCCTTACTTTCAAGGTAAGATGTTTCTGTATATAACATTTTAACATTTTAATTTTTAAGTATCCAGTGAAATTGAGAATACAAACTCACGTAAAGTAATTACAAAAATTTCCTTCAGGAAGTAAATTATGCTGTTTGTGTACACATATAATGTAAAATATATATGTATTTGTATATGATGAATAGGTCATTTATTTTTTATAAATAAGTCATTTATTAATTTGCTATTTGTGCTTTCAACTTTTTTTACCCTCTAGATAAAGCTAATATGAAGGTTTTTAATAAATAAGGAGGCAATATCGATAACTTAAAAGGTGATAATCAAAATATTTAACAACAAATATAGTGTGAGCATGGAAAACCAGATTACATGGTACTGTTGGAGCAAGTATCTGGAGGCTTCTCGCTATGTTGTGACAGCATTAAGGGATGGGGGTGGCGCATTTCCCAGGGACTCAAGGCAATCAGGGCAATTAATGTAAAGTAACACTTAGATGTCTTGAGGCATTTATGTTTTTCTTACCAAGTAATAAATAAATCTTCCAATATTCTAACAATTGGAACAATGATAGCTGTGCAGTGACTGTGTATCCACATAGAAGATACTAGAATAATCTAATCAGAATGAAGAGAAGATAGCTACCTTGCTAGGACACTTGCCATAGAAGCAAGGGAGGTATGTATAAAATAAATCTGTTAAATGCCATGGGTAAATTTGTTTATGTAATCTTTCCTTTTTGTCCCTTTTCAGATGTAATGTCAAGAGATACTAAAACACATCAAAGTACAGATAAAAATGTAGACCAGGTATGTAGGTTGACACATTTTTTAAAAACCTTGCTGACATTTTGCATTGTTTTCAGTTAACGGTGTAAAATTTTATCCTCAGTGTCGTCAGTGTAATTTCTATCAATAAGAATACTCTTTATTCTTATTCTGTTTTCTAAATGCCACGCCAAGCTAAAAGTAATTTGTGTTTCAGAAATGAAATGGAAGTTTTGTAATTTGTAACAGGGATCAGACAATAAACAAACAAGAAAATGAAAGGTGAAAACAGAAAGGAAATCTTGATTTACACCTTATATCTTGCACTCAGAAAGCATGAACTATAATCACACAAGAGAGAATATTCTAAGCCCTAAAAGAAATGCCAATACTTTCCTTTCTATTTTTATTGATTAACTGATTCCTAAGTGTAGGACATTGGAACTGCAATCTAAGTTTTGTGGAGACTAGCAGGGCTTTATGTAACCATTTCTTAGATCTAGGTGTATTAGTCAGCTTTTTGTTACTTCTACTAAAATACTTTGGAGATCCAACTTAGAAGGAAAGGTTTATTTTGACTTGGAAGTTTAGAGGTTTGCAGTTTGAGATCAGGCAGTCCCATTGGTCTGGCACTTGATGAAAGTTGGTAATGGCAACATGCAGCGTAATTATGTGGCAATCCAGGAAGTCAAGACACACAGCAACTTATAAATACAGTATGAATTATAAATAATATAAACTACAAATACAATGCTTTGCTTATACAATAATATTCCCAGGACTGGTACATTGGCTTAACTGGCTAATCCTCCACCTCCAAGCGCCAGCATCACATCTGACCACTGTTCATGTCCTGGCTGCTCCGTTTCCCACCAGCTCCCTGCTTATGGCCTGGAAAAACAGCAGAGGATGGCCCAAAGCTTGGGACCTGCACCTGTGTGGGAGACATGGAGGAGACTTGTGGCTCCTGGCTTTGGATAGCCTCAGTTCTGACCATTAGCAGCCAATTGTGGAGTGAACCAGCAGACAGATCTCTCTCTCTCTCTCTCTCTCTGTAAATCTGCCTTTCCAACAAAAATAAATATTTTTTAAAAGATGAGAAAATAACACTTCAATGAGAACAACCTTCAGAGGGAAATTTCCCAGGACCCAAAGGCCTCCCATAGTCCCACCTCCCAGATGCATAATTAGATTAAGTCTCTACCCTCAATACATCAAATGTTAATGTAAGACTTTAGGTTTAATTACATGGATTTGGGGAACCAAACTCTGTTCAAACCATTATACCATGCAGTAGGGCTTAGTCACTTTATTGATAGTAATTCCAAATTGTCCAGAACATTTCTGATTCTAATATTCAGCCCTTTTGTTCCAATAATCCATTAAATTGCCCTGGAAATGTTGATGCTTTGATGTTTAAATGACTTCTTTCAGACTGGTTCATGCATGTAAAAATAACAATAATTCTTGCTATATGATCTAATTATGTTACAAGAGAGGAGTAGCAATCACAAATGATTTCAAACTACAAAGCACAGATCATGAAATCTTAAGTCTTCAGAATTTTTCTTTCCTTGATATTCTTCTTACAAAGACCACTGGCCCAGTCTCATCTTTCCTGGGAGAGATGTTTGCATTCTAGATTTATTGTGACAGAGGTACTATTCCCACAGAGTTACCAGGTGCAAATTGGGTTTCCATGGCTCCAGAAAGCTTTGCTCCCTGACTTTCAGTGGCTCTGCCCTATCATTTTGGGGAATCATGCAATGTGACACAATAATTTCCCTTTTTGAAGCTAAAGATGGAAGGTTATTAATTTCTGAATGACATTTGGGGCCTGTCTCCCTTGTTTTGAAGTATAATGCCCAGGTTCAGTTGAGATGACTGACATGAGACTCATAGTTCGCACTGATACTAATCTCCTTATTATAAAGTGATTTGGCCACAGCCTTGGTGACTGCATTTCCTCTGTGTGTGTGTGTGTGTGTGTGTGTGTGTGTGTGTGTGTGTCTCATTAGGCTTAAGATTTACCACATCTTTAAGTTCAAGTTTCTTTTGCTGAGTACGTGTATGTTTAAGTCATCTTTCTCTTCTTCTACTTTGTAATAAGCAGTGAACATACGGCAAAACATGCCTTCAAAATTTTGCTTAGAAACAATGAGCTAAATATTCAGTTCCAAATATACAAAAAGCTACTGGACTATGAGTACAGTGATCTAAGTTTACATTTTATGAAAAGGATCACCTTTCCTCTGCTTTTCACTAATGTGTTCTTCATTTCCATTGGAGATTGAATAGACTTCACTATCCATCCTTTGTTGGCATTTTGTTTATTCTTGAAGACTGAGGCCTCCTGTATCTCTTTTCTTTCTGACCCTTCATCATAATTACCTTTCAAAGTCTGTTCACAGAAATGGTGGGCTTTCCTAGACCAAGCCTCTAAACTTGTCTAGTCATTCCCAAGCTCCAAAGCTGATTCTATGTATTTTTTTTTTAGCATACCACCACACCCTGAGTAGTTGTTTTGGTGTTAGTCTGTTTAGAATGCTCTAATAAAGATATGATACATGGAGTGGTTTACTAACAACATTTCTAGAGGTCTAGAGGCTCGGTGTTGGGGTGGGGGATGGTCCAAAGTCATGGCCCTGTTAGATCTGATGTCTGGTGAAGGCTTGTGTAGGTTCTTTAATGGCCAGTTTCTTTTTGTATCTGCACAGGACAAAGGGGAAATGGAGCTCTCAGGAGTTGCTTACACGGGTGGTCTTTTGGTCTAATGGGTGCTCTTATAACAGAATGTCTCAGGCTGGGTAGTTTATAAGGAGCAAAAATCTTTTGGCTCATGGTTCTGAAGTCTAGAAAGCCCCAGATAAAGGGGTTAGAGCATATTGAAGGTCTTCTTGCTTTATGAGCCCATGGTAGAAGGATACAAAGAAAGCAAAAGAGAGATGGGGAGAGGGTACAAGATTGTCCCTTTCTTAGGAACACTTTCCTGCTATATCAACATGAAACCGTTTGTGAAGGTGGTGTCCCTGTGGCCCGAACACCTTCCACGAGGTCTTACCTAATACCATGTCTTCAAGGATCAAGACTCTAACCGTGAACTTTACTTAACTCATTCAAATCGTAACAGACAGTAATCCTGTTCATGAAGGAAATGCCCTTGTGGCCAAATTATCCAAAATCATCTACCTCCAAAAGGCATTTGGGATTGGTTTTAGCATATGAATTTCAGAGAACATAAATATTCATTCTAATGCCCCACCAAAGCAATAAACACATAATTTATATTGCTTTTATGACTAGATCCTGTACTGGAAGGGTGAAGACATTTATCTTACTCATCTTCCTAATTCTGGTTCCTGGCACAGTGGAATACAGAGTCATCCAGTAGATGTTGCATTTTGCCTGTTTCCTTGCATATTTTGGCTTATTGTTATGCAACTAGCAAGTACACTCTAAATATATTTTCCTACTCCTAAAAGTATTACACTTTCTACCTCTTCTGAGACCATCAGCAACCAAGACTAGGGGCCACCTGTGACTGTGGAGAGCTACATGTCACAACCCACAGGAGTCTAGATTGGGGACAGTCAGGGCCTAAGTGTGGAGGGAGGGTATTGAGCCAAGATCTTGCAAACAATGGGCATATCTATTTGCTAGTTGCCTCTTTATTTTACAAGAACTATTTATGCTGCCTATACAGCCCAAAATGCATGCAAATACATGTAATATTTACACAATTTATAAGCAAAGCTTTAATACTAAAAAATACAGGCAATGGGGGAAAAAAGCTATGAGGAATAAAGGAATAAGATTTATCATGGCATTAGTGAGAAGCACAGAGACTAATTAAAGAAGAAAGAGGATGGTGTTCATATTTACCAAGAGAGAAAGAATCTAGATGAAGTTTCCCTCCAAGTCCTAAGGACATCTTAGTTTACCTTACAAAGCTGTCATCTGGTACTTCTGCTGCTTAAAGTTCCAAACTGTTACTCTAAGAGCATTGAGCAATTAAAACTCACACAATTACAGATTCAGTATGATCCAAGTCAAAATATCAATGACATTCTCAGATATGGGAAAAAAAACTGCTGAAATTCAAATGGAACCACAAAAGATCCTGAATAACTAAAGCAATCTTAAGCAACAAAAGCAAAGCTGGATGCATTACAACATCAGACTTCAAGAAATACTAAAAAGCAGTTATAATCAAAACAGCCTGGTACTGGCATAGTAATAGACATATAGAATGGAACAAGTTGAAACACTCAGGACTTAAGCCACACATTTACAACCAACTGATCTTGACAAATGAGCTAAAATCACTCCCTGGAGAAAAGACTCAACAAATAGTGTTAGGATAATTGGATCCCTGTATACCAAGACAGAAAACAAGACGTCCTACCCTACTACCCTATACTTGATTAAAAAAAAAGTCAACTCACAATGAATCAAGGAGCTAAACCTAAGACATGAAATCATCAAATGACTAAAGGAAAACATTAGGAGACAGAAACTGCAAGACGTTGACATATCCAAGGACTTATTGGATGAGAATACAGAAGTACAGGCTTTAAAGGCCAAAAATGGATAAGTAGAATAATATCTAGATAGGAAGCTTTGGCACAACAAGGGAGCAAAAATGAGGCATCAGATAAGCTGAGAGAAGATATCACACATTTGTCAAAGAGTACTATCCAAAATATAAGGAGCAAAACAAGCAATGCAGTTCAGAAATGGGCACTTTTCAAAGAATGAAATACAAATGGCCAATAAAGACATGCAATAATGCTCAGGATCACTAGCTATCAGCGAAATGCAGACAAAAACCACAGTGGAGTTTTAGCTCATGTCGAATAGAATTGCATTCATCCAAAAACAAAACAAAATGGTGATGAGAATATGAAGAAAAAGGTACCTTAATCCAACTGTTGTTCAGAATGCAAGCTAGTACAACCATTTTGGAAGACAATATGGAGATTTCTCACAAATCTGAAACCTCTACCTTATTACCCAACTATCCCATGCCTGGGGAATTTACC